ATGTTTATATATTCTTCACCGACGCCCTGATTCTTCAGTGTCTGCATGACGGCTGATATTTCTACTGAATCAAACGCCTTCTGGTAACTTATGAAGGCTATGTATAGTGGTTGGTTATATTCTGAGCATTTCTTTATTACCTCATTGATAGTATGAATGTGGTCCATTGTTGAGTAGCTCGTTCGAAATCCTGCTTGTTCCTTTGGTTGATTGAATTCTATTGTTTTTTACTCTGTTAGCAATTACCTTTGTAAATAGCTTGTATACTACAGACAGCAAGCTGATCGGCCTTTAATTCTTAAGGTCCTTATCATCTGCTTTCTTATGTATTAAGATGATGTTAGCATTCTTCCAAGACTCTAGCACTCTTCCCGTCAGGAGACACCTCGTTAACAGAGTAGCTAGTTTTCTAACACAATCTTTCCTCCATCTTTCAGCAGATCTGATGTTATCTGATCCTCAGCAGCAGCTTTGCCTCTTTGCATGCTCTCCAAAGCTTTTTTGACTTCTATTATTACTGGTGGGGTCTCATCTGGGTTACTGCTCGTTCTTATAGTATTATGGTTGTGGTTGTCTGTCAGCTTTCCGTAAGCACTAGTTCTTCACGTGATATATATATATATATATATATATATATATATATATATTTGTGTGTGTGTGTGTGTGTGTGTGTGTGAGCGTGTTTTGTACCGCGTTGCAAGTTCCTATTTTATGGCTTTCTTCGATATCGGCACAATGTAGGAGGAACGTGGAAAGCACCTTTCCAGATGATTTACCTATCGAGGTAGAGAGAGCAATGCAACAATTAACGTTCCTGCCAGCTGACTGATTGAATATATAACGTGTTATTGACTGGAGCAAGCAAGAGGACATATTTGTATTGAAGAACCAAAGGCAGTCGTGCGTCTGCACATTTCCACTTGGCAGAAATGTTCTAACATGCCTGCGCCCCGAGATAGTCCGCTGCTAAGTTTAATTCCGCTTTGTTAGATTACATACACATGCAAGGTGGCGATGGTAGACGCAATGTTTCTTCTTCCGTTGACGAGCAGCCATTGCTTCCTCCAGCCAGCCAGCAATAAAAGAGTAACCTTTATTGTCTCTACCTATGCCTACTTTCCCTTGTTAATATAAACGCCGTACGTGACGGCCGATGCACCACCCTATAAGTTCCACCTGTCATCCAGAAAGGAGGATCAAATGCGGACCTTTTGAAGGAGCACGCGATTGCTTAAACTGTATTTGAATGTTCTACAATGCTTCTTTTATGTTTTAGGGACGAAGCTCCTTAGGGTATGGATCATTTCCTCCTCTTAAGTAGAATGCTGTAGTAGCCACTTATTGTTAGTTTAAAGAATCACTCACAAAATGGCGTCGTGGGTATATGTTCTTCGAAACATTATTACTTGGAGGTGTTAGTGGGTTTCGTATATTTGACGAATAAAGGTGATATCTGGTGCGGTTATATTTAGAAATTCACGGCATATCCACATAGTGAATGATGATGATTAGGTCCGCCCATCCGATGCGTGCTGTAGTGTGATAAGAGCGGACGGATGGACTGATGGGCATATATAAATATATACATACATGCATACATTTACACATGCATGCATGCATGCATGTATGGATGCATGAATTAATACATACATACATACATACATACATACATACATACATACATACATACATACATACATACATACATACATACATACATACATACATACATACATACATACATACATACATACATACACACACACACACACATACATACATACAGATGCTTCGCCTCACTCATCAACATTTACTGCGTGGATATGGTGTGAATTTTTTTAGAACCGTGCAGTAGTAGTGAAACTTTGTGCTCTTTAAGGCGGAACCCCATGCGCTTCCTTACCTAGAATTGTTTGATGATATCTGGTGTTGTATATGTCTCAAAGCCGGCTAGGTGACGCACGCTGACGTTGCACTGTGCAAAAGGCTCCAGCAGTTCGCCTCTGACGAAATGCAAACAACTAGGCTGGGATCAAACCTGTGGCCTTCAGGTTAGCAGCCGAGCAGTAGCACCCTTAACGCCACGCCGCCGCGGCAGATGAGTAGAGATAAAATACAATGCAGAGGCTTTTTTTTAATCAAACGTGTGGCAGTACTATCATCAAGTAGTTTTTTTGGCTTGGTGTTAGCATATATATGTAAGGCGGCATCTTATGTAAGAGGAATGGGTTTTTTTCTTGATGCTAAATAACAATCAATTATTGGTGACAACCAATGGTGTGATATGCGCGATGTCTCCAGCGTATACCACCCTAGCCCACCCTAGTCACCCACGGCCGTACACTAGGGGATGCTTAGGGGAGTCTGCCGTCCGCGGATGGCAAACACCGCTGTGGTGGAGCCATCGCTGGTGATCAAGCTTAGTCGGAATGATCAACATTGTTTTGTCGCGTGTAGGAGGCATGCAGTGGCCTTCCTTTTAACATAACCGCCCACTTTGCCATCAAGTTGTTTTTCTTACATTGCGCTGTAAGACGATTGCCCGCTGCACAGCTTTGCCTCCCTGTAAATACATCCAACAAAGTGGTTAGGAAGATTACTCTGCAGCATCGGTTATTTCTTCCACCTTATCAAGGTGCTCGGTCTCATACTCTACTCTTGATATTCTTATGCCGGTATTTTTAGCCTGTAGATTGTCCTAGATCCAAAGCAAACCTTTTCAGGGAATGAATTTTTTTCAATGCGAAGCGTTTCTTAGCGAACTTCAGCGACTTTGAGCGTATCTATCTATCTATCTATCTATCTATCTATCTATCTATCTATCTATCTATCTATCTATCTATCTATCTATCTATCTATCTATCTATCTATCTATCTATCTATCTATCTATCTATCTCAGCGCTTACATTTGGGTCCTCTCAAGGTCACCCCCTTCACTTTTCGTGAACGAAAATTAGCATGGGGGGATAAGATGGTCTTACGAATATGACGCGCCGGTGAAAAAAAGAATAATGTCACAATCCCATCGCATACGTCGTCAAAAACTTCGCGCCAGAGCGATTAACCTTCCCGCCACTCACGCGCAAATCTTCACGCAGGTGCGAAATTCTGTGGCGACAGCTGCAGACTCGCACCTTTCTTTCGCCTTACCTCCTACACCGCATTCATCCATCCTGTTATCCTTCCCCCTCATGTAAATTTTGTGCCTCTTCCACAGCAGACTTGAACCACATCATGTGGCGCTGCCCTAAGCACCCTCTTCCCCCATTCCTGAAACGCCTAATTTCTAGTGAGGAGCAGTGGGAGGCTGCCTTGCGCAGCTCGAGGCCCGCTACCCAGGAGGCCATCCTGGAGTGGGCTGAGAGGGTAGAGGAGGACTACTTCAAGTAGTTCATCCCCACCACACCCTTTCCTGTTGCCCCCTTCCCTTTAACAAGGGATAAATAAAGTTGTTCATTCATTCATTCATTCATTCGCGCCAGACATGGCACATACCCAGGAGCGGGTATGTGCCACTGGTAGCTAGTATGTGCCACATGTTATTGACACTTAGTATCTACCCAGGAATGACGAGAACCCACAGGGGCACTTCTAACACGTGAGTGTTGAGGAATACCCGACATCAATTTCGTCGACCCAACGAAGGCATAGAACAAATCTCAATGTTAAGAAAAACCTGACATAGGAAGTGTTGACCTCCTGACAAATGCAAATAACAAATTTCAGGGTCCCAGCTAGAATCAAACCCAAGATTTTTGTGGTGTAGTCAAGCATTTTACCACAGATCTGCGACAAGTCTCAGAAATACTGTTCAAATAGACGCTAATCTTCGTGAAGCGTCAATAGTGGTTCTAGTGCTGCCTACCCAATTTTCAAAACATTATTTATGCACACCTTTGATACGGTCGTCACGTCAGGTTAACGTAAGATTTGATTGGGTGCCTGGCACTGATGTTGATTTATGTAGCACTGTTCAGAGCAAGCATTTTCGCGAGCGTAAGCGCTCCATATCAGCTTCTAGTGTTGCTAATACGCATGTTCCAGTTGGCATCCTTGCACAAGTGCAAACAACTGGTTATATAAACATCAGCAACTCTTGAACATACGTTTGTGCGTGCAACACTTGTACATATTCTTAGCGTCTTTTCATGACGTGCCGCTCAATAAAAAAAAATGAAACACGGTCATCTTTCTTCCGCACGCTTCGCATAACGTCGATTCCCAGGTACGTGGGATCTGTCGAATATTTTTTTTTCTACGAGAAAGTCAAAGAACAAAAAAAAAAGGGTCGAGAATCCGTGGATGATGGCATTTCATTTAAGAGAGAAAGCGTCGTTCAAAATGGTTCATTAGATTTAAAATCACAAGCGGCCCAGTGTATACAGTATCTAACATCTAAAGGATATCCTATTTTGTTAAACTAGCAAAGTCAAGTGGCGGCACGTGGCTATGATGGACAAACGGAAGCTATCGCAACTGGGGCACTGCTTTCTGCATTCCTTCCGAATGCTGCCTAAGGGACCTGTGGCTTCCACCGATGCACTGTATGCGCCATCAACTGGGATTTCTTTACAGACGGGGAGGTTAACCAGTCGAGGATAGTTAGTTTGGTACCCTACACGTGGGAAAGTGATGGGGGAGCTCGAAACAGATAGTTTTTGAGTGGAAATAGAGATAATATGGAAAATAACGTAGCCCACACACGAACATGCACTCAGTGTGACGTACATAACGCCTGCGTGATACGCAAGACCCTTAATAAACCGGGGTTGAGAATATTATAGTTGAAATCAAGAAAACAATGGACGTGAGCCGGCTACGTAGCACGTAGGCAGTATAACCGCTAATGTTCAAAGATGAAGCAAATACAGCTTCAAACGTTAATGCGATGCCCCACCTTGCTTTCAATGGTACCAGTCAGATGCGGGGCCAGTATAGAAGGGCGGTACAATACATGGGGTTTGTGTGACTATTAAATGGCCACCTGCAATGAATGCAGACTGGGAGGACTCTTCCATCGTGCGGCCGTTTCCTTTCCGAGCCGTGCTTCTGCTGTCGCCTCGTGTGCCCTCTGACGAGCACTATGGCCGTTTCTCGGAGGCAGTGCTGAGCTACGCCGGCACCCAGCCACTTTGCATACCAATGCACACCGAGCTCAAGTTCAAGGCAAGTACTCCATAAAATCTACTGATTTTATTTTTATTCAGGAAAGGGGGGGGGGGGGAGTTGGGTGGTAGGTGCAAAAAAAGAAAATTATCATGGAGTGGTTATTACTGTTTTTACCATTATGCTTTTTGCGTCGGCAGCTATTCTCAGAGGCGACTACATTTATAGGGGAATCTCTCGGTCTAATAATGCAGATATGTGACAATTTTACAACTATTTTTCCGAATATCCGGCTATTTTTGATATCCACAGTTGTTCTTCTCTTTTCTAGTATAATGAATGCAAATTATTATCTACATAATAGTGTATAATCTCATATGTGTCATCGTCTAAGAGAAGCTTCAAATTTCATGCTAATGCACACTTTAACGGTGTCTTAATCTCATTTATATAAGATGAACACCTTATATGCACATTATCGCAATTCATATTTCTTCACAAGTCTGTTGTTTATAATTCTGGCGTTGACGAACAATTTCGGACCTGCAATCGTCTCTGTAAAAATACAAGCTTACAACATGATTACCATTTACAATCTTACTCTTACCATTACGTTCTAAATTACCGTTTTACGGCCAGAGTTTCTTAAGCCAATCTGCGTTAAATAGCTACAGTCTGGGTCCTAGGTATGCCTGCTATACACAGAAGGAGTTGTTTTGTCAAGCTAAATTGGTTGAAGCGGCACTTGTTTACCATACTTGCAATAGATAGTGCGATGAGAAACGCACATGTACGGAAAGGGATAATACCGACATATGTCCTGACACGGCAACGGGTGCGTATTAGCTGCCCGATATATGAATGAGAAAATGCTTGCTGTTCTGCGCGCACACTAAAAACTAGCAACTAGTTGTCATTCATTATTGATGATCGATTGCACCTCTGAGCTAGTTCTGAATATTTCTTTAGTTTTTCTTACTCAGAAACTCTCGCTGTAATTTTATTCAATTCGGTTGTAATTGTGACGTGAGGTGGCTTGGACAACTTGGGTTTGAGTTTGTCGGGAACACCAGCAAAAAAGTAGCGTTGTAGAGGGCTAGATCATGAATTCCGGGAATGCTGAACTTTACGAGATGATGAAGTGCAGAGCATGAAAGCGGTCAAGTGACGAAAAAAAAATGACTGCATTTCAAGCTGCTTGAAGATAATTATGGAGCGAAGCTTTCGGAGGTCATTATTGTGATTAAAGTTGAGATAGTACTGAGACCAATTGTGGTTGTGATACTTGTATATTTTTTTATTCAAAGAGATAGTGCTGAGACCGACTTTGATATAGCGTTGATTCTTCTTTATAGCTGATATGAGGTTCCGAGTTCCGGGTTACGTTTTGACTTCATAATCACAGCTTCATCAGCTATCGTCTCTGGTGTAGAGTTTTCTTGTCGGTATTGCCGTCTTGCATCCGCTTCAAGTTGTCTTAACTGCGCGTCAGGTTGGCGTTTTCCCCGCTTAGCCTTTGCTCCCTCAGCCCTAGTCTGTGGTGTAGAACTTTGTTGTCGCTGTTGCCGCTTTGCATCCGCTTCCTTCTCTTTTGTCTCCGCGGTAGCTTCCCGTCGACGGCGACGCCCGTCGCGCTTTCCTGCGTTCATCTTCGTCCATATGAGCGAAGAGAATGTGTGGTATGGAAAGTGGTTATTAATATATAGCATTGACAGCAGCGCCATCATATCTACAATAAACTACAGCGCCCTCTGTTTCTTATAAGTTGAAGGTTACATGCAAAACGGTTGCCACCAATGCCCTCTGTTGCTTGTATGTTGAAGGTTACATGGTGTTGCGGACAGACGGGAGATGGCGGACATCATGAAGTCTTAAGGAGCTTCGCCCCTAAAAACATACGGCACAAAAGCTGACGGGCCACTCAATTTTATTTTCACAGCACGAAGCAAATAAGTACGTGCTTGTGTCACCCACTATTCGAAGTCCCTGTTCATATGATGCAAATCTTCACAGTTGCACACGTTCATAAAGCACCGTATAAATTAGCAATGATCTTCAATTACCAGCTTTATGATTTTGCTACAATAGCGAGGTTGGTTCAGGCACATTTTGGCAATTCACTGCCAGTAGTTTTTTTGGGGGGGGTGGGATGAGATCAGAAATTTTGTAGTCTCTACGAAAACACTTACGTAATGCAGAAGCACTTTCCGTACAGTCAAAGCTAGGGGCACCTGCGAACACTCAGATAAGTGATAGTACAATGCCCACTTCACTTATTGCATGTTCCTCTGGTACTCGCAGGTCCCGATATACGCCGGCCTGACATACGACGCCGTTATGCTGTGGGCCAGGGCCGCAACGCAGGTGCTACGCGAGAACGGATCGCTCACCAACGGCACTGCGATTGGGCTGAAGATACGAGGCAGCCTATATCGAAGTAAGATGCAATTGAAGAACGTGTAATGATTGAAAGCTAGGCTAATGGGTGACTGTACTGGAACAATTGTGGACGCAGCGCAACGACAACGCGGACGAAGATGCGAAAAATATTGAAGCACGTGGAGCTGGTTCATGAGCGCGCGTCTAAGAATGAGTGAAAAAGTGTTAAGCTGTCGACGGCAGCCCCATAGCTGCTAGTCAAGATTCGGGAATGCTATGCTCTGGCCTTGCTGTGTTGTTACTGTGATGGAGAGTTGATAGAGGCAAATGGAACGTATTACCACTGTATCTTTTATGAGTTGGCCTGATGAGTTGCGTTGTACTTGCACTGAGATTTATACGCTTTCATTGCGCTCATTTAATTTCACATTATTATTTTAGCAAATCTGGCAGAGTGTTGTTGTCTTTTTTCGTTAAGATGTTCTCTGCGAACCTCGACATAAATATGAGAGATGCCACAGTAGGATTCCCGGGAAATTTTAACCACCCGGTGTTCTTTAACGAGCATATAACTCTCAGTAGATGGGCTTGGAACGTTTTGCCTTCATTGAAATGTGACCGCCAGGGCGGGTTTTGGATGACGCCATCTTTGGCCAAAAGTACAGCACCATAATCACTATAGGCAGTGATGGCGGGTACGGTGTTCTTTTCTAGATAAAATGCACGAGCGTTGTTCAATCGTCACGTGTGTCTTGCTAACCATTTTTATCAGCGAAACTGTTTAGCAAATCGTTCCTTGCGAGTTGGTTGCAATAAACTCTAATCGTTTTAAGTGGTGTGCACCACAAAAATTACGTTGATCTCATTAATCCCTACTGTTCACCGGAAAAGGAGGAAAAGAACACGTAGAGCGAGACAATTCCTTATTAGAGCTGCGCAATAGGTCAAGCACCATGGTTTTCTAGGTAATCTGTAAGAACAAGAACAATAAGCGATGGCGATGAGCTTAACACCACGATTATACGCACAAGAAAAAACAAGAAAACAGGAAAGGCAGCGGCGACTGTTTGAAGACGCCGCAGCGATGGAAGTCTTGCGCCAACGACGACTTATCCGTACATCTGAGAGAAGAACGAGTGCTCTATCTCAACGCGAGATTCTGTTTCTGGAGTCCTGGACAACCGTTTTGTGTCTTTCAGTATCCGCAGTTCAACTTTAACGTCTCTGCGCAGAAAATATACGTAGAAGCGACCTATAGCATCGCGTAGCCAATTGAGGTACGCAAGAACTTTCAAGCGAACTAGAAGCTGGGTGACCTAGCTAATACCCAAAAACAACCTAAAAGCAAACAGATTAGTCTTCAGAATCGTCCAATGTCGCTCTTTCAAGCCTTTCATTCATGACTGCAAGCTTCGCAACCTTTCTTTTTTTAATTAAAAATTCTTTTCACAAAGCTGATCCAGCTCACGCATTGTAGCGACTAAACGTTTAGGAATAGTTTTTGTTTCATTGACTCTTTCCTTCTGGTCTCTGCGGGACCAGGTGCTCTCGGCTTCGACATTCGCGTCGACGAAAACGGCGACGCTGAAGGCAACTACACGGTGCTCGGTTTCTCAGTGCCGGAGGATGACCACCTCACTCCCGTGGGAAGGTTCACTCTCGCTGAGAATGCCAGCTCTCTGCCCGTACGTATGCACTAGTTTTATTCCTATGCATGCCACAGAATCTTGAATAGTTTGAAAGCAGAAAGCACGGAACATACAGTATATATGAAAGTCTGCTAGACAAGCAATAATAGCTGCAAAGAAACAAAGTATCATGCGCGAAAGTAATCGAAGTTGAGAGATCGTTTTTCTTTGTAAGACACAATCTTAGAATGAGATCAAACAAAAATTGTGCCACGGAAAGTATCAGAGACGTTATTTGTATTACTTATGGTATAGATGGGAAAGAAAAGTCTACGAAAAGACAGCTTGCGACCAGTAGAGACCAAAGCTGCCACCTTTGAATAGCGCATCTGGTGCTCTGCCATTTGAGACACGACAGCAATCACCCTTCAGTTAACGCCATAGGGCACGCATAAATTTATCTGCGCATTTATTTTGGCAAGTATTTGTGCATATATATGTGCTAGAGTCGTATTGACTAACACTTCCAGGCTGAAATGCGCACTTGTACCCTTTAAGGTAAGTGCGAGAACGATCATTGTGGAAGATAAATCGGCAGAGAGTTGGACGCGATATTTGAAGGGTGTAAGTTCGGTCCCTGACGGAGCGAATTCTGTTTTCATCCACTTTATTACCTACATAATTATGTCATACTCACTGCAAAAAGTAACGTTGCCTATACTTTCCTCGACTGAATTGCATGTCAGATTTGCAATTATTTTGCTTGATGTCTTATCAGAAAGCTTGGCTATGTTCATTCATATTTGAAGAGTTCAAAGTAAAGCACAATTTCACAGTCTTGAAAGCCGTGACACAACACTTGGTGAATGGCAAAAGGAATATGCAGGTGGAGACGCCATCTTGACATTTCCCCACCAGGCACCATTATGTTACATATTTTGAAGGCTCCTACTGGGTCATACGTAGCTTCTAATCTATCAAAAGTGAAGTAACTTTTCATCTGTTGGTGCCATAGATCCAGCACCGAAGTTTCAAAAAATTTTGTCAAGACAAACTTTGTGAAAATACAAAAAAAAAACATTTTCAAATTTTTGACATCACGTGTGGAGATTTCGGCTCAACTTTTAAAAAGGAAGCTTCAGCTGTGGTTTTCTGCGCTAGTAATGAAGTTATACTGAAACATATAAGGTACACGAGTTCTCACTGTTCATCTGTCGATATAAGCAGAATCAATGTTTCTCTTTACAGCCCCTTTAAATAAATGGAAACTTAGCACAGGGGGGTAAAGATTGTTGAGTGCTTTCTCTGAGTCCCCTTCACTGGCCTGCAATATTATTACAAGCAACTGTGCAAGAAGGAAAGAACAAACGTGACAAGGCTTCCTGCTAATATCTATTCATCGTCATTTTGCATTATTTTACGTATCAAGTAGCTTCATTTTCGCCTAAATTTTAAAATTATTTAAGAAAATAATTAGTTTATGGAGTTAGTAGGTTACAGCCATGTGTGAACGCTGCTAAATATATAGGCTGAAAGATTGTGCCACGTGGTACTGGTGCATAATAAAGAGAAAGAGGGACAACAAACAAACAATATTAACGTCTCGGGTTTTACGTCTTAAAGATGAGATGACTACGAGACTAAGCAGTGGAGAAGTTTGCAAAATTTAACCATCTAGTGTTCTTTAACTTCCCCTGACATCGGACAGTACACGGGCTTCTACCATTTCGCCTTCATTGGGAAGTGCACTAGCGCGGCCTGTATTGAACTCAGCGATGTTCCGTACTACGCCGAAGAATTCCCATTCAGAGACATGAAAATCCCTATTTCGGGGATTTTTCTCTGCACACATTGAAGAAATTCCCAGCGAAATGCTCTGCACAAGAATACTAATTTACGCCCCCATCTACGCCCAAACATGGTATAATTACACGTGTCTCACAATATGGCGACTTTTGAAAACGTGACTAGCCCCGCTACTGCCACGCAACAAAAGCATGACTTGATTAATTCCCATACTACATTCCCATTGAGGGCTTCGAGTCTAACAGCACTAGTGAACTAGAAATCGTTCCCCGTAAACATCAGAAACAAATCTTAAAGTCCATGCTTGCGTGGTGCATGCATCAGAACCGATTACAGCAGATGAAGGCGCACTGTGGCCGCTTATTATCAGTTGTCATAGGAGAACTTAACCATTCCTGAAATGCCCTTCAGTATAACGAAGATTCCGTTTTTCCCTTTGGTTCAAAATGACAGGCGAAAATTCCCCGAAAAAGAAAAAAAAACTCTCTGCATGGGATATCACTGATTTGAACCCGACACCTTCGTGCCAGCAGCCGAGCGCCATAAAGTGGGAGACAGACGCGTATGAGATGCTGTGTGCGGTGCTATGCGCGGCACGCCGATGCGCCAGCTGGAGTGATGGCTTTTCGTGACGTTTCATCACATCGCAACGCCGCATCGCATGTGCGGCGTGCATAAAAACAGGCAGATATTTTCATCGCCATGTCAGACCGTGGCATGGCCGCAGCCAATGACAGCTCGGAGACGTACATATATTTACCATCATTTCATGACGTGTCACTCAACAAAAAAATACAGCATATCCAAGGGGTGAATGATGATGAGTGGGCAAAGCTCCTGAGGCGAAATCATCGGTAAAACCGTGACTCTTCAGTGAAAATTCACCCACTACATCATCAAGAAAGACGTGAGAAACACTGTGTGCGTATGTATACTCGCGCTGCAGAACGGCGTTGGCATTGGCGTGAGCCTGGTCGTTCTTGATGGAAGATATTTTGACTAGACTGTTTCAGAACCACAATCTGTCGCACACACTGCAACTGTGTCCGAACGTAACGTCTAGAAAGTCTCGCTTAAACCACGCGTCGGCACCTTGGGGCTGAGCTCGCCTGATGCGTTTTGCAGACGCCTCACGAGCTCTCACTGCATCGGGGTCTGCCTGCCGATACGCGCGCTTTCTCGCCGCTTCCCGTTCTCTGACGTTTTGGAGATCCTCTCCAAAGCCGTGCCGCTTCGCGTATGGCATACGCGAAGCAGCCGTGCCGCTTCGCGTATGGCAGAGACCTCGCACCGTTGCCGGGATGCTTGGGCCTCTCGTTCTCGAACGCTGGGATCTTGGCGTCGTCGTCGCGCAGCTTCACGGAGCGCTTCTGCCTCGCGGGCTTGCACATCGAGATTCTGTCTGCGAGCACGCGCTACCGCCGCCTTGCGTGCTCGCCGCTCTGCGGCCTTATCGATCGGGCAACTCTGAGTGCGCGCCAAGAGCAAACATATTCTATAACAAACCAGAGGTGGCCTTATCCATCGGGCAACTACGAGCGCGCGCCAACAGCGAACAGATTCTATTACAAACTAGAGGTGGCTACATACAAACGCCGAGGATGGACAGACCCACGCCTTAAGGAGCTTCGCCCCTAAAAAAAAAAATCGACACGGTCAGCTTCTCGCTGCATGCTTTGGATAACGTCAATTCCCAGGTACGTGAGATCTGCCGAAATTTGAATGCGACGTATTTCTAAGCGAATTTCAGCGACTTTGTCCGTATCTATCTATCTATCTATCTATCTATCTATCTATCTATCTATCTATCTATCTATCTATCTATCTATAGATAGATAGATAGATAGATAGATAGATAGATAGATAGATAGATAGATAGATAGATAGATAGATAGATAGATAGATAGATAGATAGATAGATGACAAAAGTGCTTGCAGGACACAGAGAAATGCTTCGCAATTAAAAATGTTCTGCATACACCCCTGGTCGGGTTTATGTACCCGACTTAGAACTGCAGGTGTGCTGTGATGGCCATTTCATATACAATGATGTAAACAAACTTATACGTACACTTATAGCACATATATACGCAAAATAACATACATAATGTTTCGCTTTCAGAAGAACAACACAAATGGGATCACAAGAACCGCTATGGGAACCAGCATACCTTTAGAAGATAGTGAATAACTAATAAACAACCGATTTTCGTATTTGAATTGCGCAGGTGTTTCGGCTTGACAAGGACATTGCGTGGTTAGGCGGCTCCCCACCCGTCGGAGAGCCCAAGTGTGGCTTTAAGAACGACAAGTGCGCGTCGAAGCAAGGTGAGTATACGGTATTATACAATTGCTAAGCGCTCCCGGTGCTGTGACCTTCATAGCAGCCTTGTGAAGTGGAATATTGCCGTTGGAATGGTGGTAGAGTTCTTCAACGTATTGCTGCTAGCATGGCCTCCCTTGTCCAAAGATGTCATTTTGACCATGCTATTTTGTACGTTACGTTGTATTTTGTGGCAGGAGAGCAACATTTGCCAACATATTCCGAAAGGCTATAGTGGCTCCGGTCGCCACAACGAAAAGGACCAAGTGAGGAGTGAAAAAAAGCAAAAAAAGCAGACTAGTGTTTTCTGGAGACATGCGCAGCAGCTGAAGCACAAAATTTCACGCACGCAAAACAAAAATCTCGTATGTACATTCATAGAAGTTTCATATGTACATTCATAGAAAATATTTGTATTTTTTTCAAATGAAGCACTGATTTGAGCGAAATATGCAAGCCAATGTTTATAACATGGCTCCCAAATCCCCGAGGTGCTTTCTTTACTAGCATTTTTATTGTTCTACTTTTGCTTGCGCCTGCACTAAGACAGATTAATATATTTATAGGTAGACTTTAACGTACGCACCGTAGCTGCATACCATAAAGTGTACCTGTAATTATAATAATCAATCAATCAATCAGTCAAATATTTACCGTGCCCTCCAACTACCATGAGCCAGAAGCGCGCCTGACTGGGCTGATTGGTACGTCGTTGGTACTGAAGGAAACAGCGCTAAAAACGGGATGGATGGATGGATGAAAAACTTTTATTGGGGTCCTGAAGGATTTCACCCCCGTTTTATAGGGGTAGGATCGCGGGCCGCTCTCACGTTGGGACGGGGTGAAAAAACAAAGAGACCACGTGCGCTGAACTAACAACCACTGGTTTATTGCACGCAATTGCAATGTACACTGACACGCCTCACGGGAAAAGTAACAAGAACAGATAGCACAGCATTAGCTCATGTGATGAGATGGTCTTCATTCTGTCTTTTCGCAGATGCGGTTTTTATTTGCTTGTTGGCAGAGCTTGCGCACACAGTGAAATTGTCTGTAATAAAGCAGCATATGCTAGATTAGTGCTTAGTATGCTGTTACCTTACAGTATCGTCTCTGGCGCTGTTTGATCTAACTTTCAAAGACTGTAATAGGCGGCTGAACACATCCTGCAACGAACAGGGTAGTACCGGGCTTCACACCAATCCAATTCAAAAGGAACGTGAACAAACAAAATAATTGTGATGGTGAAATATGCCATTATTATATTTATTCGAAGGTGCCTTGTACCCGCAGGTCGCGGGTTCAAATTCCGGCTGCGGCGGCTGCATTTCCGATGAAGGCGGAAATGTTGTAGGCCCGTGTACTAATATTTGGGTGCACGTTAAAGAACCCCAGGTGGTCAAAATTTCTGGAGCCCTCCACTAAGGCGTCTCTCATAATCATATGATGGTTTTGGGACGTTAAACCCCACAAATCAATCAATCAAGGTGCCTTGTGTCTGCTAGGTGCTCTTAGTGTCTGACCGGAGAGAAGAGCGCCAGTGCGAAATAGCAACAATGAACTATAGGTGCAGGATAAAGAAAGTGAAAGCGTCGATTGCTGTCCCAGGGATTGGCATGCGCGGAAGGTGTGGGCCTGCTAACAAAATAAGAAGTATTGAATATTAGATAACTTACACTGGTATTTGAGTTCAAGCTGTTTAACAAGTTTGGAATCTCTTGTAATTTTGAAAAAAAAAAAAAGCTGTGGAAGGTAAATATTCAGGAGTGGAAATTTCGGTGGTATCAGAATTATGCCTCCTTGTGTGACTATAGGAGCTATATACGATCATTTACCATAGAATATTCAGTGAAAAAAAATCACCTTACTCATTTTTTACTTGTTATGTGCGCTATAATATCTGTGGTTTTGTGTACGACAACAATAATATGTTTACTTGACACGCCATATGAGTAAAATTCCGAAACAATGGCAACATGGTGCTCAGTAATGGGCTCTGACACTGTAGATTACATGTATCGCGGAAATTTCGTGCTAAGTCTGTTTTTACATGTTGCAGATTTTGTACTGGAATTTTTTTCGTGACTATGGACGTGTACAAGTGAACCAAGCTGGTGAATCTATTAAACCACCTTGCTTTACATGATCGAGTCCTAGTTGTTATTGCTCATGTATGGCTTTTGCTTGTGTAGACGTTCATCACCTACATTTTTTTTATTTTCTTCCAGACTGGCGAGTCCTTGTAATTTGCATCACCTGCGCCTGTGTCGTTCTCGTGTTGGGTGTCTTCGCCTTCAGGTGGGTGTGCCATACCACATACACCGACAGATATGTGACTAGACTCTTATGTTGTCGAGACTAAGATCACGTGTTCGGTTTGCTGACATAATGGACACATCCGGGCAGGTGCAGCATGCAAAAAAAGAACGAACAATGAGACACCATGTTTCCTAGCTAAGTAGAAAAAACAGTTATCAACAATGATCAGTAGTCTTCTTTATTCTGTCTCTTCGAAAAGAAAGAGCCGATTGGTAGAATTGATAATACAGAAAATTATCACAGAGGCTCGTACCGCCACGTGTACGAGCCTCTGTGATAATATTACCACACTTACTATGTGTTATTTTTCAGTTTGTTCATAACGCCTTGTTGAAGCTGTTAAGACTATGCACACTTGAATGTTTTCTTTTACTTATACTACAGGGGCATCTTTTGCTTATGAAGAAAGTGTAGCTGCACAATTTAGGTGTGTATATGTACGGTTGTGTTTTATTTGCAGCTGCATCTTTCTCCGTGCACAAGAGTCCCCTAAAAAGTATCTTGTTGACTCTTATAATATATATTATTTGAAATAACAGTATTTATGATATTAAAATAATATTACAAATATTATTACGTATATTAAACGTCAATGTATATTACATATAAAACACTTAACACAGAGTGAGTGGTCACCAGGTGTCTAGTCTTTTTAAGATATACAAGTTGTGATTATTCGCACTGTCATCTATCTTCACAGCGTGCGTAGGGTTAATAAGTATTTAAAGTACTGGAGAAACAGAGTTACTTCTTAACATTTGCTTTTGATAGGAGAAACTAACATATCGCCAATGAATAAGACGCAGCGTAAAAAAATGAGGAGGGGGGGTGTTGGCATTATCACGACAAATCATTCCAGATTAGCGCAAGTATATTGCTCACTATCATTGACTTTATGCCACCTTTGTGACTCTGCTTCCGTGAAAATGTTGAGAAAGATTCTAAATTTAGGACGCACTGGTAATCAGACTCGTCCGTGGTGAAAGCTTATGGCAACACAAACGACAAACAAGGATGGCATAGAACGTACTGCTTTACAAACAGAACCCTCTGTTAGTCTATTACTCTCTGTGTCGCCCGTATTTATGATGTGCATTATACCATAGGCCATAACAGCTGTGTGATTAGAACGTGGCGTTATCTTTGCAGAAATCGAGAATTGAGCAAGATTATCTTGTCAAGATTTGCATAGTAGTTTTCAATACGATGCAAATAGGTTTCGCAACGGCAATTTCGGTTGCCAACGTTTGTATCACCAAAACAGCAAGGTGGCCTGAAGTTGGGGAAGGAGACAAAAATGCACCAGCAATCCTTAGTGTGGAATCAATGAATGCACGTATTATTTCTGTGTAACTGCTCAACCTTGTAAAACACTTAAAAAAATTACGTTCATTTTTAGGTTTACGATGCTACAAAGAGCTTCGGTAAATTTCATTTGGAAATTTTGTCCTTTTCTTCTAATATCGTCAAGAAGAATTGGGCTCTTGCCAGAAATGAGGTTATCGATTTACAAAGCCTGTATCCCCTTCAGTCACGAATTACGATGCGGTGTCAGAAATGCGTGAAATTCGCTTGGCATAATTCCAAGGCACTCAGTAATACATTCTAAGTAATCAAACAGGAATAAAACTGTTCCTTTGTGTGAGCTCTGGTAATTAAATGCAAAGAATGTTCAACTAATTATCTGATTATTCTGCCACCAAGCAGGTTCAGTATTTGTATAAAAATAGTACGCTATTAGGCTCAAGGAGCATGCACAGTTGTTATTTGGTTGTCTTTGTTTCCATCGAAAAAAAATTTCGACGGATCCTATGTACCTGGGCATCCACGTTATGCGAAGCATGCGGGGAAAAGGTGACCATGTTGCATTTTTTTTGTTGTTGAGCGACATATTATGAAATGACGCTAAATATATTACTTATGTTGCACGCTCATACATATGCTGAAGAGTTCCAGAAGTTTTTATAACCATTTGTTTCCACTTGCACAACAATGTCAACTGGAACATGCACATTAGCAACACCAGAGGCTGATATAAAGTGCTGATGCTCGCGAAGATTCTGGCCCCGGACACTGCTACATAAACCAACCTCAGCGCATGGCAACTAACCACATATGACGTTAACCTGACGTGGTGTCTGTATCAAAATACTACACATGTAATGTTTATATAGTTGGGTAGGCAGCACTCTAACCAATAATAGCGTTTCACGAAGATTAGCGTCTATTTAAAAAGAAGTTCCGAGACATGGCGTAGCTTTGTGTTAAAATGCTTCATTGGCACCCTGAATGCTTGGGTTCGATTCCAGCTGGGACTCGTCGGGTCGACGCTACCGACGTCGCCCGTATTTCTTAACACTCGTGCGTTAAAGTTGCCCGTGTGTGTTCTCGTCGTTCCTGGGTAGATACCAAGCGTTAATCACCTGTGGCACATACCAGCGGCACATACCCCCCCCCCCCCCCGTGGGTATGTGCCACTGTCTGACGGGACGTGTTTGACGACGTACGCGACATGCTTGTCACAATATTCATGTATTGAGAAGAACGTCGTATTCGTCAAACCGTTTTACCTTCTCATAATACTTTTGGTTCACGCCAAGTAAATGGGGTCACCACGAGAGCACCTGAACGTAAGTGGCTAGATAGATAGATAGATAGATAGATAGATAGATAGATAGATAGATAGATAGATAGATAGATAGATAGATAGATAGATAGATAGATAGATAGATAGATAGATAGATAGATAGATAGATAGATAGATAGATAGATAGATAGATAGATACGCTCAAAGTCACTGAAGTTCGCTAAGAAATGCTTCGCTTTTAAAAAATACTTTTCACGGTGCCCTTGGAATGCCTCATGCCAAACAATCAATAAACATGGTAGTGCATCCAGACAATTGATCTTCTGCAACTATACGCACCATGATAAGCTTAATTGATCACCGCTTATGTCCTGAGGAGGCCTGCACAAATGTGTTTACCAAGCTTCGAGCCATTTGATAAAACACGTGGTGTGTGACGTGCCATTAAAGCTGGCGTCTCCATTTGTACACGCCATGACTGAAAGAGAACCTGCTTATAATTTGCTATGAATCACAATTGCTAGTATTCATTATAATTGCTAGTATTCGTAGAGCGACTCCGAAAACCTGCGTCAAAAGTCGAAGATTCAACGTTTACTGCAAGTAACCAAACAATCACGCTGCTCCATGAGGGCCAAAATGATTACCAGTGTTCATCCCTAGAAGCCCCACAATCATTTGAAGTGAACTTCGCGTTTGAAAATTTTGTAATAAGAAGCCTTTGTTGTTAGGATATAGGTCAAAATATCCATACATACGAATATTCCGTCCATGAAAAAGTGAGAATCATATTAGAAATTCAAAATGTCAAGATTGTATAAAGCGCGAACTTCTTGCCCCCTTTTTCAAATACAAATAAACACATCCTCTTGACGCTTGAGAAACAGCGTTACCATCGGTGGCTTAAATTTAAGTGCAAAATGAAATGTAATGTTGTTTGTATTTCTATAATATTTATTGCGATAATCATACTGTAGAAAGTATGCAGAGTCACCCAGAAGCAACTGTCGCTGCATAATTGTAAGCGGTGCTCTAGAAAGCATTTGGACGTTTGACTTGTCTTGTGCCGAGATAATGCCTATCTGCAGTGTGGTTTCATATATATTCGTCATGAAGCTTCGAATTAAGGAGAGCTACATTTATTCCGCCACAAATGGGGCCTCCAAATACGAAAGCAAGAAGTAAGTCATGACACCACAAATGCCTACTAAGAACTACTGGAAACTAAACTCTTAGTTGAAAGTAGGAGGTTGTGGTATTGTGACTTTTTGCTTCTACAAGAACTGCCATTCGCCATGACTCTTTCGGCGTGATTTCATTGTAATTAGGGGTATAAGCAGTTTTAGTTATATTGAAGGCGTGCACTTCATTAAAAAAAGGAAGTGTAAACAATAATAAAGCTATCCGTTTTCAAAGTGCCGTTCTCATTCTGTTCAATTTTACTATTTGATTTTTCGTGCAGGCACTACCATTACGAGTACAAGTTGGCCCGCCTCTTGTGGAAAGTGGACATGGACGAAGTGGTCGTGCTGCGCACCAACTCAGAGCTTAGCTTCCAGAACACAAACGTGAGTTCCCGGCGCATATCAAAGCACTGTTTTAAGCATGACGCTGAATTCAACGTAAAGTACTCCCCTCACAGGAGCACTAGCACATGGCAGTAACTAATTGAACATTATACGATAATTGAACCCTGTTGCTAACGGCTAACCTCCCGTTTTTTTTTGCGCGCGACATGTAATGATACTTACTGTGTTCGCGTGTATTTTGCCATTTTTATTACTGAGCACAAAATTCTTTCTTCTCAGTTGAGAATGAAAATGGTCACTGTATTTTTTTTTGCTTGAAGAAACCGTTGTTACCCAGAGGAATGCTCATATGCTAATTCATTTTACTTTATCAAATGAAACTGAGTGGTTGGATCTGCTGACCACTTTTCTGGCTCTAGCGTGACTCTTGAGTGTTTTGATTCTTTAGGTGTAGTAAAGTTGTGATAAGTAACGCTAAAATAACGTTATAGAACCTCGTTTCTGGCCTTTTTGATGAATTTTCCAAGGCCTTTGATTTAGCTAATCATAAAATACTGCTAAACAAATTACACAGCTATGGTATTCAAGGCCAGGCTCTATCGCATATGGGCTCTTACCTATGCAGTAGACGACAAGTTGTACCCATAAACAACTCTTTCTCGAGTATGCAGCCTGTACTTTGTGAAGTGGCGCAAGGCAGCATATGGGGACCACTATCATTTAACATGTATCTTAACCATACTATAAATATTCCAACGGGGGGCCAAATATATCATATATGCCGGTGATTCTAGTATATTCTTTTGAGGTCACGACACAACTACATTTTAAAAACTTGCAACACAGCAATGGTAATGCTAGAAAGATGGACAACAGCAGATGGAACGCGTATTAACGAAAAGAAAACAAAAGTTGTTATATTTTGAGATAAGAACAAAATTATTCTATCTTAGCATGATATAATACTGAGTACTCGTAAAATTGAGACATGTCTTGGCACAATTTTTTCAGGGAACATGACCTGAGATTATCATGTGGAATATGTCTTGCAAAATTTATTTCAGGTAACAGGTGTAATTGGTCGACTTCGGTATTTGCTTCCAAAAAACTAGGCTTTCGCTAAATGATTCACTTTTTAACTCACTTTTAAACTATTGTTAGTTGGTATGGGGTACGACGACGGCTACTAATAATGAAAACTATACATGCTTCAGAAAAAATGTATTAGGCATTTTGATAACTCACAGCGAAAGAAGGACGAAGACGAAGGATAAGACAACACGGCCCTTTTAATGAACTTTAGTTGAGAGTGAGTGCTCGTGTTGACTTATTCTTTTGCTGCGTCTTCGTCGTTCTTACGCTGTGAGTTATCGAAAAAATGAACTATTACAAACTAGCCCACATTTCCGTTCTTGTTCAGTCTAATAATCATATATTTTTGGCTCATTTTGTGTCATTCACTAGACCCTAATTTGTAGCTAAAATAATTAGGCTGCCCCAGCTATACAGTTATGAATTAAGCCGAAAATTCAGATCGGAGACTCTCAGCCACATGAAAAATGTCGGCATTCTAGTCAACCTGCGTGCAAGGAATCAAAAGTACCCCACCCATGAAGGAGGGAAATTAGAGGTTGAGTCACACGGTTAAATTCAGGCAAACACCATTTATCTTACACTCTTCCAGCTCGTTTATACCACTTTGACCGGAGAGGTTTTGATTTATTCAGATGTTCTTTCCACAAAATCTATGAATTTGCAAGTTTGTTACACATGATTTTTCATATATATGCACAGTCAGTTGTATACTTTTTTTCTTTTAGTCACAAAATAACTCTGATATACGGGTTTCCTCTTTTATCGCGCATAGGTACTCCTGATATCATTATCTGTGATGTAAATAGCTGCAGTGCATGTATTTTCATGTATCGTTATATGTACCTTATATTTTGTTTCTCGATGACAATCACGCTATCACGTTTGATTTCTACACAGTGTAATTTATCGCTTTCAATATGCTGTTAAGTCCCAACTACATTATGTATACGTAGTGGTTAAAGAAAAAAAAACGAAGCAAGGCAGCAATGATCATAACAGTAGCGTAGCTCAGATTTTACACAACTAGATATGGGAAACCAATCACAGGATAAAGGCACCGTTACAAATTTATTCTGCGAGCTGGTTAAACAACTGAAGAACATTATTTGATAAAAAGGTTTCAGATGGTAAGGCATTCCAATCACTTATGGTGCGCGGGAAGAAGGAATGTTTGAATTTGTTTGTGCGTGCAAAAATCCAGTTAAATTTAAAAGGGTGAAAGTTCCTGGTGGGTCTATGGGGCAAAAGGTTTAGATAAAGAGCGGGGTCGACTGCAAGTTTACGGTTCCAAAGCTGATAAAGAAATTTTAGTCTTGTTATTTTACGGCGGCTCTGTAAGGTCATGATGTTGTTTGTTTGCATTAAAGAGGTAGGCGAGTCATGTCGGCGGTAACGATTATATATGAACCGTACAGCCACCTCTGAATTTGTTCAAGTTTGTTAATGTCTTTTTTAGTGTACGGGTCCCAAAGTTGTTAAATTTGAAATAAGAACAAAATTATTCTATATTATTATGATATAATACTGCGGACTCGTAAAATTTAGACATGTCTTGGCACAATTTCTTCAGAGAACATGACCTGAGATTATCATGTGAAATATGTCTTGCAAAATTTATTTCAGGTAACAGGTGTAATTGGTCGACTTTGGTATTTGCTTCCAAAAAATTAAGCTTTCGCTAAATGATTCACTTTTTTTAACTCACTTTCAAACTATTGTCAGTTGGTATGGGGTACGACGACGGCTACTAATAATGAAAACTCTACATGCTTCAGAAAAAATTTATTAGGCATTTTTCGATAACTCACAGCGCAAGAAGCACGAAGACGAAGGATAAGACAACACGGCCCTTTTAATGAACTTTAGTTGAGAGTGAGTGCTCGTGTTGACTTATTCTTTTGCTGCGTCTTCGTCCTTCTTACGCTGTGAGTTATCGAAAAATGAACTATTACAAACTAGCCCACATTTCCCTTCTTGTTAAGTCTAATAATCATATATTTTTTGCTCATTTTGTGTCATTCACCAGACCCTTAATATGTATCTAAAATAATTAGGCTGCCCCAGCTATATAGTTATGAATTAAGCCGAAAATTCAGATCGGAGACTCTCAGCCACATGAAAAATGTCGGCATTCTAGCCAACCTGCGTGCAAGCAATCAAAAGTACCTCATCCATGATGGAGGGAAATCAGAGGTTGACATCACACGGTTAAACTCAGGCAAACAGCATTTATCTTACACTCTTCCAGCTCTTTTATACCACTTTGACCGGAGAGGTTTTGATTTATTCAGTTGTTCTTTGCACAAAATCTATGAATTTGCAAGTTTGTTACACATGATTTTTCATATATATGCACAGTCAGTTATATACTTTTTTTTTCTTTTAGTCACAAAATAACTCTTATATACGGGTTTCCTCTTTCATCGCGCATAGGTACTCCTGATATAATGATCTGTGATGTAAATAGCTGCAGTGCATGTATTTTCATGTATCGTTATATGTACCTTATAGTTTGTTTCTCGATGACAATTACGCTATCATGTTTGATTTCTACACAGTGTAATTGATCACTTTCAATATGCTGTTAAGTCGCAACTACATTATGTATACGTAGTGGTGGTGCGCTACAAGTGATGTGCCTCTCCCGATTTTCTCTTTGTATTATTTTTCCTGCAATTTCATTTGAGGCTGTAAACTAGTTAAGCTGTTTCAAAATAAAAGATTTTTTTTTTGCTAGAATGAAAACTAGACTTTCGTTTTGTATGATTCGATTGTTCAGGAGATTGTACATATTATATTGTTACACCTGCTCTTTGAACTCTCTTATGTGTGAGAACATTTCTTAATTTTTGATTTTTTATTCTAAGCCTACTTTAGCTGATGTGCAACGTATACATATAATGCGAGTTTACTGCTGTTGGTTTTCGGATCCCGGCTGCGGCGGCTCCATTTCCAATGGAGGCGGAAATGTTGTAGGCCCTTGTGCTCAGATTTGGGTGCACGTTCAAGAACCCCCGGTGGTCGAAATTTCCGGAGCCCTCCACTACGGCTTCTCTCATAATCAAATGGTGGTTTTGGGACGTTAAACCCCACATATCATTACTGTTGTCGGTTATATTACCACATTGTTTTCAACGTTTTAGTTGTTTGGAAATATGTACATGCTGAACTAAATTATGTTGGTGATGTGCTCTTTCATATTAGAAATGAAATAACAATTTAGCTCGCTATGCGCATCGAGTTGAAAGTGTGCACTGTGGCTGTGTGCTTGTTCTGCCCAAACGCAAACTTTTCGACTTACTCATATAGGACAGTATATATGTATATATGCTATTTTGTTTCTCGGTTACTATTTTGCAACAGTCAAGTAAAAAAGGGTAGTCGTTACAAAGTTCTGACGACAACACCTCGTTTGTTTATTTTTTATTTCAATAAAAATATATTGATGGCGCTGTGGGTAGCATATAAACAATTTTTGAAGCACACCGTAGTGCTACAGTGAGATGCGTCACGAGTTACGCCTCATGAATAGGAACCAATGTGGCACGTGTCAAGCAAGGTTTTCGGCGCCCAACATTGCTACGATTTCATGCAATACCCTTAACGCTTGCACTTTGTCAGTGGAGAGTGGCAAAAAAAGAACGCATGCGGGCGCTCACTGATTGATGTTGGAGACGCAGTTTGTTATCATATTCTTTTCTTCGGAGTAGCATGTACGTTAAAGCGTCGCCTTCTCAGTAGGCATCAGACAGGCTAGCAGGAAGTGAGTGCGCTCTGCCCCGGTGGTCTAGTGGACAAGGTACTCCGCTGCTGACCCGCAGGTCGCGGGATCGAATCCCGGCTGCTGCGGCTGCATTTTTGATACTGGGGGAAATGTTGTAGACCCGTGTGCTTAGATTCGGGTGCACGTTAAAGGATCCCAGGTGGTCGAAATTGCTGGAGCCTTCCACTACGGTGTCTCTCATAATTATGTGGTGGTTTTGGTACGTTAAATCCCACATATCAAATCAGTCAGATCAGAAACTTTGCCTCAAAGTGCACTTATATAGCCTGACAACTCTCTACATACTCGCTCACACACCCTCTGTGCTCTGGTTTCTGGTGACAGCGTGGCATGCTGGAGACCACACGCCTTGGTTTTGCGTTCCCGGACGAGCAGCATTTGCTCAAACTGCGGAGGAGGCTGCAGAGTGCCGCCCCCTGGGTTTGGTCAGCGAACACAGTTCCGGATACCCAGACTCCAGCGGTGGCCGCAGGGCGCGGCCGCGTCGGTTTCTACAAGGGGAACGTTGTCCACATCAAGCACGTCTACAAGAAGAGCGTCGACCTAACACGCAGCATACGCAAGGAACTCATACAGGTTTGCTTATACGAAAGCAGTTGACAGTCCTGAGTTATCAGAAAGACGCTATTGGGAACCACACTGTTTCGACTTTTTTTTTTTCTATGTCTGTCAAGCTAAGTGGCATTTCGTAGTTTTCAGGAAGTAGCATGTTCGGCATAACAATTCTGTACTAATGACACGTGAGCTATACTTTTGCAAATAGGGGTTATAACTTTGGCAATGGTTAGTGCTTTTATTTTTTATTTTCTTGCATAATATCACAAGCGATTTTCTCAAAGAGAATTTTATTTTGTTTACAACATTCTGAGGCCACCAGTTAGGCGTTAGATACGATTACATGACGGACCATTTTTTACCGGGCACTCGACGATTCACAAGCTGTCACTTACGAGGCGTCATTTATCCCAAATATATCACGTACATCAGTATCGACTGCGCCAACGTCATATGTAGCATTCAGACTCGACGCTCGACCACACTCCGATACGTGGCCAGTCTTGCATTGATCGTATAGCCTATTCAAATAAAAAAAGCAGTAACTTAGTGATAGCGTTAGTGCATTGCTATCCCGTTGTCGAAATATTTGCATTTATTAGGAACTAAACTTTCCATTAGTACACACTGCATTGACCAGTATGAATCGAATTGTTCAACAGTCATCAGGTATACACCTTTTTGCAGATTTGAGGCCCAAAAACCTCGAAATGAAACATAAATACCTTACTTTACACTACTACTACTACTACTAGTACTACTGCTACTACTAATAATAATATTATTAATAATAATAAAAATCATGATAATAATACTTCATTGTATACATCCTTAAGAAATACAAAGAAACGGGCTTGTCAAAGTCCCAAGGACTTGTGCGACTAGGCCCGTCAGAGCCGGTCACAGCGATGTGGACACAAGGTAACAAAAATCATTGTTGCTTCTTTGCCAACAAAAGGACTAATGATTGACACCATTGCTTTTTACAGACAGTAAATAAAAAGAAGAACAAAGGAGGAACCCAGAACATATGTGATATTCAAGCAGACTATTTGATTTTACAGCTCAGCGAGTATTTTCTTTGATTGCTTTTTTGAACTCGCTGAAAAAAGTTCTTCAGGTAGTGAATTGATTTTTTTTTTTCGAATATATACACTTCCACATGATTCCCCATATCTGTTAGAAAACCGAGGTACTATAAAACGCTTTTTTTCTCGACGCGTTACATATGGCACTTTAATAATAATAATAATAATAATAATAATAATAATAATAATAATAATAATAATAATAATAATAATAATAATAATAATAATAATAATAATAATAATAATAATAATAATAATAACTGCGATCTCTTAACAGCTCTCGCGGTAAAACATCAGACTATTCCACCGCAGGCTTCTTCAGCAAGGCAATTCAGACTGTCATGTGTCCCAACACGTTGCACTGTGCCATGCATTACTCACCTGTGTTTCATGAAGCTGAGGCGTTGCGAGCCCACGGAGATGAAACCACACGACGAATAATTGAGGTTAACGATATCACAAAAGGTGGTGAGCAGTGTAGTAGCGTATGTTGCACTACCCTACATGATAGTGCGTTCGCTATTTAAATTCAAAGAATTTCTTAGCGAACTTCAGCGACTGTGAGCGTATCTATCTATCTATCTATCTATCTATCTATCTATCTATCTATCTATCTATCTATCTATCTATCTATCTATCTATCTATCTATCTATCTATCTATCTATCTATCTATCTATCTATCTATCTATCTATCTATCTATCTATCTATCTATCTATCTATCTATCTATCTATCTATCTATCTATCTATCTATCTATCTATCTATCTATCTATCTATCTATGCAGCCGCCTACGACTTTTTGCTCTCCTGGCCGTTTTGATAATGGTAGCAATATCAAACTTGGTATGGCATACCATGACTTCCTGAAGAACATATTTGATTTTTCATAACATGAAATTCATGATGATAATGTCATAAATGTCAAGATTTTTGTTTTAAGGTTCTGCAGCTCTTGGGGTGGTTTCGTTCACATGGCATGTTGCAAAACTGGTATGGTACGACATGATTGCATGGCAAACACAAGCGACACACCCTAACATGAAAATCATGACATGCGTCTCATGTAATAACATGACTACTTTGCCCGCACATGACGCGCTTGCAGACGTTTCGCTAGCGTCACATATATCAAATTTGGTATTACGTTACGTGAATGCATGACGAAGGTATGTGACTGGTGCAAACATGATAATCATGAGATGCGTGTCATGCAGTAACATGAATACATGCCACGCTCATGATGTGCCTGGGGCCGTTTCGCTATGTTCACTTATACCGAATTTCGTACTACGGTACGTGAATGGACGACATAGAAAAATGACACATCCAATCATGGTAATCACGACATGCGTGTCATGTAACAGCATGACTACATGCCGCACTAAGGATGCTTTTGCGGCCATTTCGCTAGCTTCAGATATGCCAAATTTGGTATTACGTAATGCCAATGGATGACGAATGTATGTGGCTGGTGCAGACATGATAATTATGAGATGCGTGTCATGTGAGAACATGACTACATGCCACAGTCAAGGCGCCAATACATTTTGACGTGACGCGGAGCGCGTGCTCGCCGGCGTTCATTTCTTCGCGTCACCCCGGTGTTATGCCACGCCAGGCGCCGGTCCTGCCATATACTCGCAGGTGCGCGCAGCGCTGCGTGGCTTTGACGCATGCGCGTGTCAGCGCGTCCGGCGTCCCTCCGTCGCGAAAAGAGGGAGACGCAATGTTGTATGGGTAATGCATTGGCGCGAAATGCAGCATGTCGCATTTCACGCTGGTTGCCGTTGGGCCGCGTCGACGGACGCTAGTCGCGCCTGGCGTCACATTATAAGTGCTCGCGTTTTGCTAACGCAGCGTCGCTGTGCCCAGCGTGCGCGTACGTCAACGCTACATTGGAGTATATTGGGCCCTTCATGATGCCCTTGCGGCCGTTTTGCAGGCTCCACATATACCAAATTCAGTGTTACTTGACGTCAATGATTTACAAAGTTAAACAACGCATCCAAACATGATAATCATGACACGTAAGTCATGTACGGCATCATTTACCACCACCTCGTGACGTTCTGATTTAAATGTGACATATATCAATATTTCTGATTTTTGCTTCGCATATCATCGATTCCCACTCTACGTGGGATCTGGCAGTTTTTTTTATTGAGTACAGAGTCCTAATACTTCCTGTCTTTAAGAGTGCACGTGGTAGGTGGTCCTGTTTGTTTCACGTTCAAGATAAAAGCTGGCTGGCTGATTTTGCTGTTAGTTTCTGCTCATATATAGTCACATCGGTGTGAGGGTTGTAGTATTTTTTTCTCTCAGTTTGCTTTCAATAAACATGCAGTAGCGAATCAGCGCTGAGGATTGTTTTCTTTTCTCTTTGTCCACATAGTCGTCGTTCTGTGTTTGATTATATACTATCACCACCGCGCTCAGCTTTCAATCTTATACTACGGCCGAATAAGTACAGTTAGCTTGATTTTTCAGCTCTCCAGAAGTTGCTTTGTTATTTTTTAAACGTTACTTGTTTTTATACATGCAGGTGCGAGAGATGAGGCATGAGAACATCACTCCCTTCATTGGCGCTTGCGTTGACCCACCAAACATCTGCATATTGACTCTCTTCTGTGCCAGGGGAAGCCTCGAGGTCAGTGTGGAATGCTACGAGAAAAGCTTCCTGCATCCGAATCTTTTTCGGGTAATGCGATACTTCTTCGAGGTTGAGACGACTGACATTCAGGTTTGATATACCAACATTTAAAGCGCGTTGTTGTGGGCAGTAGTATACAATTATAGTTGTCAATAATTATTTGATATAATTTCAATTTTTTAGACAAAAGGAAAATTGCATAAGTTGAAGAGACTAAAGCCAGACTACCTCTGCGTTGCTGTGGTTACTCTACCCGAACAATTCCTGAGATGTAATGAAACAGAAAATATAAATTTTACACTTTTATTTAGGAACATTAAAGCAAATACAAAACGTGGAAAGCTTAACTGGAAGGTACATGTTGAAGTTTTACGTTACAGCCTGCTCCAATTAGCCCACTGTCACATCAGAAAAATATGTAAAGTACAGAAACCTGGAAGATAAGTCCGAAAATAAAGTGCGATAAATTACGAGAATAAAGTACAAATAATCATTGAAGTATTTATATTAAAAATTTGAAATGGCACAGTTTAAGAGAGGAAGCCCATTTTTAATATTTTTTTAGAGAATTTTTTTATTACTTTAAAGTTTAAATGCACAACTTTTGTTGAGCAGTAGTTGAGGTATTTGATTTAATAAGGTGTTTTAGTATGTCTGATAGGACTCCGTGCTCGGAGCCTTTTTCAAATATGGCAGATGAAATAAAAATGGAAATGACGATGATTTGAATTAGGAGGAGGAGGAATAAATGAGGAAGGACAGGGAGGTTAGCCAAATGCGAATGCAAATAAGCACTAATCAAGATAACATATAAAGACTATGCCAAACCACGCTGAAATTGTATCAGCCAACCGCTTTGTACACGCAGGTTATATGCTTCTCAACTACCTCCTCCCGGTACTATTGTGAGCTAGGGCCAGATTTCTCAAGCAGCACCGATGCAAACTTTCCCTGTGCGTCACAAGTGTAGCACCTCAGGAGTTTCTGTCCATTGATTCTTTATTAAACCGTCTCCAGGGAGCCCTGCCCGGAATTTACGTTAACACAAAAATTTCTTTGTCATGGTGCAGAAAGACTTGCCGGACGTTGATGACATAGGTAAGCAAGCACTCGGACAGGTCTCCAATAGCCCAACCACGGTGGTCTAGTGGCCAAAATACCCTACTGCTGACCCGCAGGTCGGGGGATCGAATCCCGGCTGCAGCGGCTGCATTTCCAATGCAGACGGAAATGTTTTGGGCCCGTGTGCTCAGATTTGGGTGCACGTTCCAGAACCCCAGGTGGTCGAAATTTCCGGAGCTCTCCACTATGGCGTCTCTCCATAATCATATGGTGATTTTGGGGCGTCCAACCCCAAATATCAATCAAATCAGGTCCCCCATAGAAATAGCCATATAGAAGAAAGCTTTGGATGGGGCACTTGATAGTTGGATCGAGCTCCCGACTTCTTTGTCCTAGAAGCTTGATGCGCATCCAATACGCCATAGATCTATGCCACTTACCCGATACAAAAGAACCGTATTCAGATTTCCCCACCCTTGGGAGAGGAGACATTGCGTTAATATATAGGAGTCGTGCAGTCAAGTACTGCATGATGACACACACTAACAAAAGAGGAACGTTAGCAGCCCGGAAGCCGCTCAGCATGGCGTAGGCTGAAAATGATCACCAAGCATTAGCTTTAGTAACAACGAAGTTTCGCCATATCAAAAATGAAAACCCAGTAAATGTGGTCATTTTAAATACTATGCAATGCCAACGGTGACAATATTGTGCAAATTATTTCGTACTTACAGTGACACACACGCAATTTTTTTAAAAGGGTGGACTACATCATACCTATTTTCTTAATGCTGAAGCTCCTTATGACTTAGCATTGCCTTCTGTTGTTGTTACGATATAGAACAGTTGCTATAATTCTAACATAGCTGAAGCACAAAAATAGTTATACAATAGACTTCAACGTAGACATCGCCTAATTATAAGGTTCCTGTCCCACGAAGATAACCTATCGAGAAGTGTACTGACGAGTTGATATTTATTAAAGTGTGCCTTAACGTTGGGGCTTTTCAAAGACCCCCGTGACACAATGGCACACGTCAAGAACTATATGTCCGAAAAAATCACTCGTATTCAAACGCTATTTTGCCACAGGTTAGATGGAAGGTTTTCGGGTTCGATTTCGAGGCATATCCTCCACTCAAGCAATTTTCCAAGGCCCACTTGAATTGCCTAACATGACTGGCAAGCCCAATAAATTTACAATATATGAGGCAAGGCTTGGATGTGGGGTTACTCACTGATAAGATACTCGGAGCTTTCCCAGTTGTCATTGTTCACTTCGTGAAGATGCGTAATTTTTTCTTTCATTCAGGTAAAAATATTCTGCCTTGTTGATTGTGTTGATTAGATTTCTTATGACGTGGGTTTTTTTCAACTTTTTTTTGAAATCGTCAAAAGACTCACGATTGCATGACAAAGACCTAATGAGAAGATACTACAAAATCGGTCACTATACGACGTCCAAAAAAGGAAAATGAATTAAATACGCCCCGTGGATTGAAAAAGATGTCACTTGTTTTCTAGAGCAATTTTGAAGAAGAGCAATAGCCTATATTTGGCAATCCTAGTAAAGCTCTCTGTTGTAGTAATACCAGTGCTCTACACTGTTGTGGGTACGAAACTTTATTGTGTAGTGCCAAACGAGAAACATGGATCGCAAACACGGGCACCTTCGTCCTTTGAACTGTATCGCAAAGCTGTGACGTCACGCTTTGTTATAAGAATGCTCCAGTTACAATGTTTTGCATAAGTCAGCTAGTCATTAGAACGGTAACGGCAGCGATCACATTGCGCTGGGTGCAGCTACGCTTTTTTTACCCAGAGAGATAGTGTAAAATCACAACAAGGGTAGCGTGATTGTCCGCCGCCACTGCCGCTGTTCGTATCCACCATAGCGCGAAATGAGAAAAAAAGTGAAATAAGAGACAATACGTACAATGAAATAGATGTCGAATTTGGGACCTCTTCGAGACAGCCAAAAATTCTGCCAGAGAGCCATGCCGGTACTTAACACCCCACCGCAAAAATGCTCTATACAGGCGCTATGTCGGGAAGGAACGGCGTTGGCGTGCGTACTATAAAGTGGTAGCAGAAAAAGTAACAACCACACCCAACTCAAATTGTATAATTAGGCGTCAGTAGTTTTGGTAACGAGGGAGTCGTTGAGTGCTTCCAACTCATTACAAAGAGATCATCGAGAATTTTTGTTGCCATCAGACACCACATCAATTTAAATCTTAGTGGGTACCTGAGTAGCGTATATTGTAGTAGGGACCGCACTTGCGTATGATGGGCTCTAGAATAGCCACTCTTCCAGCTTTCACTGTGACTGTGTTGTGGTTTTTGCGCAGGCCTTTGTTTGTTCTTTTTTATTGCGATAGCAAATATATTGACATTATCGGTTGGATTTTGACGCCTGTGGTACTCACCAAATATGTATACGTATGTATATGTATGAAAACGCGAGAAAGAAAAAAAACTGCAGAAAAAGACCATCGAAGCGATCTCGAATCCCCTGAGACGTCAGCGCAAGACTTTAACTACTGAGCTACAGAGGAGCACGTTCCTAAACTTTCAAACGGCAAGCAATTTATATCTAACGCTTACCGCTGGTGCCGCGCATCTCGGGGGAACTATAGTGCTTTCAGCATTACCAGCAAGATGGCGCAATGAGCGCGCGTCATCACATAGTCACGACGCAGCGGCATGCGCTCATCTCCCACGCGTACTTTGCCCCACGTTGAGAATAAGGGTGTGGACGCTTGATCATACACCCTTATCTTGCAGTGGGAAAGATTGTACGTCTCGGCTAGACTTTGGGTTTCGCCGGAACGATTCTGTTGTAGTTACCGGGCGCACAAAGGTCACTTCAATCGTTGCACAGTCTCAGTTTTCGAAAAGAGCGCTCTTTCCAGACACTGCAAAGTAAAAACTAAGACGCTTATTCGAGTTTATCTGTACCTGTGAGAACGTTTCATGCGTTATTTGTGCCTGAGAAACGCGGGGAATGTTTCGACTTGCTTGCCATTCTGCGCTGACCTTCCGATTTGTTGCTATCATGTTCATTGATGTCGATATGATAATAACAGCAAAGTTACCGAATTCGTCATACTATTTGTACAATGCTTACTAATGCTGTGATCAAAATACTCAAGTTTAAAAGCCATCGTAGCCTAACATGCAAGGTGTGAATTTTCATAGGCTTTCTTTAAGTGTTGCAATAATATTTATAAGGGAAAGGTGACATGTCTAAGCAAAGGCATATCCAGTGTGAAACAACAAATATTGAACGAAGAATTAAAGTGCCTTTTTCGCGAAAAGAAGTCGGGAGAAAATCGCGTGGTTTGCCTAAGCCATGTACGAAATTACACATTGAGGATAATTAATAAAAAAGTAGAGCAGGTCAGCCTTGTGATCATAGGCAATCGACACAAACTTGAGTTTAGCGGACATGTTTGCTACTGATGCGCAACCTGCACCTCTCTCCTTCAAGTCAGAGCATTCGCAATACAATCCAATATTAAAATTTTGCTTTTTTTAATTTTGTTTCCTGCAGTCCATAGACCAGACAGGGGAGGCGAAAAGAGGGAAAATAGTGCATAATGTTAGTAAGTTTTACAAAAAGTGAAACTAAATACTACTGAAAATTTGAACATACCAGCAAGGATTATTAAACATAAAATTCCAGAAGTGCGCCAGTTTCTAGAAACAAGTTGAAGCAAAATAAGGGAAGTCAACACAGCTCGTACCATGGGATCACTTATTCTAGCATGGTAATATAAACATTGTTGTTTACACGCAAAGATACATGTATCTTAAGTCATGAATGCTACTGTCAGGGAAAGCGTGTCAAGGCAGGGTATTGCATTCGCTAATATTCGCGGAAAGAAGGGGAAACGAGGAAAAAAAGGAAGGCAGGGAGGTTTACCAGAATGCTAGTAACGGAAAAAGGAATGTTTAATAAGATAGTGCGTGCAAGGTATGGTGTCTGATCATTAATTTGACCTCTGTTGTTAGCCTGAAAAAGGTGGTCTAGTATTTGTTTGTGTGGTTATTCATAAGAAAACCTGTTATTTCACACTCTGCAGGATGTGCTGAAGAACGACGATCTCGACCTCGACAGTATGTTCATCTCATCTCTGGTGGCGGACCTTATCAAGGTAAATGAAGCTTTAGCTTATCTAGTTTGAACTGCAGGATGAATGTAGCACAATAATTTCTACCTTTAAGGTTTCACATAGTAGTGCGCGTCATGGTGACAGTCTATGCGAAGCACACTCACGGGTAGTTTGCTGCATCTACTGTTGACTGGCTAACTTTGTTTTCTTCAGCTGATAACAATGTATAATTGAGAAAAATAGTTTCAATCTAGAATAATACCAACAATACTATTTCGTTTAAAAATATGAACACTTTTAATAATTCATACGAGAATGTTCTCTTATACCTATTGTTTACACAGACTATGGTTCAGTAAGTGACTTACAATAAACAATCTCATACACCCTTATCTTGCAGTGGGAAAGATTGTACGTCTCGGCTAGACTTTGGGTTTCGCCGGAACGATTCTGTTGTAGTTTAGTTACCGGGCGCACAAAGGTCACTTCAATCGTTGCACAGTCTCAGTTTGCGAAAAGAGCGCTCTTTCTAGACAGAGCGAAGTAAAAACTAAGACACTAATTCGCGTTTATCTGTACCTGTGAGAACGTTTCATGCGTTATTTGTGCCTGAGAAACGCGGGGAATGTTTCGACTTGCTTGCCATTCTGCGCTGACCTTCCGATTTGTTGCTATCATGTTCATTGATGTCGATATGATAATAACAGCAAAGTTACCGAATTCGTCATACTATTTGTACAATGCTTACTAATGCTGTGATCAAAATACTCAAGTTTAAAAGCCATCGTAGCCTAACATGCAAGGTGTGAATTTTCATAGGCTTTCTTTAAGTGTTGCAATAATATTTATAAGGGAAAGGTGACATGTCTAAGCAAAGGCATATCCAGTGTGAAACAACAAATATTGAACGAAGAATTAAAGTGCCTTTTTCGCGAAAGAAGTCGGGAGAAAATCGCGTGGTTTGCCTAAGCCATGTACGAAATTACACATTGAGGATAATTAATAAAAAAGTAGAGCAGGTCAGCCTTGTGATCATAGGCAATCGACACAAACTTGAGTTTAGCGGACATGTTTGCTACTGATGCGCAACCTGCACCTCTCTCCTTCAAGTCAGAGCATTCGCAATACAATCCAATATTAAAATTTTGCTTTTTTTAATTTTGTTTCCTGCAGTCCATAGACCAGACAGGGGAGGCGAAAAGAGGGAAAATAGTGCATAATGTTAGTAAGTTTTACAAAAAGTGAAACTAAATACTACTGAAAATTTGAACATACCAGCAAGGATTATTAAACATAAAATTCCAGAAGTGCGCCAGTTTCTAGAAACAAGTTGAAGCAAAATAAGGGAAGTCAACACAGCTCGTACCATGGGATCACTTATTCTAGCATGGTAATATAAACATTGTTGTTTACACGCAAAGATACATGTATCTTTAAGTCATGAATGCTACTGTCAGGGAAAGCGTGTCAAGGCAGGGTATTGCATTCGCTAATAATTCGCGGAAAGAAGGGGAAACGAGGAAAAAAAGGAAGGCAGGGAGGTTTACCAGATGCTAGTAACGGAAAAAGGGAATGTTTAATAAGATAGTGCGTGCAAGGTATGGTGTCTGATCATTAATTTGACCACGCGTTGTTAGCCTGAAAGAAGGTAGTTTAGTATTTGTTTGTGTGGTTATTCATGGGAAAACCCGTTATTTCACACGCTGCAGGATGTGCTGAAGAACGACGATCTCGACCTCGACAGTATGTTCATCTCATCTCTCGTGGCGGACCTTATCAAGGTAAATGAAGCTTTAGCTTATCGAGTTAGAACTGCAGGATGAATGTAGCAAAATATTTTCTACCTTTAAGGTTTCACATAGTAGTGCGCGTCATGGTGACAGTCTATGCGAAGTCCACTCACGGGTAGTTTGCTGCATCTACTGTTAACTGGCTAACTTTGTTTTCTTCAGCTGATAACAATGTACAATTGAGAAAAATAGTTTCAATCAAGAATAAATACCAACAATGCTATTTCGTTTAAGAAATATGAACACTTTATAATAATTTATACAAGAATGTTCTCTTATACCTATTGTTCACACAGACTATGGTTCAGTAAGTGACGCACAATGAACAGTCTACTCCACCTTAGACAGTCTACCGGTAAATCAGATCAGAACATATGGAAGCTTCTACGGAAGTTATGAAGTGCTTTTAAATGAAGTCAGTAATGGTTTGCGCAAATGAAGTGTACCTTAAAAAGTAGAATTAAGGAAGCGACTGAAACTACTTATAGGCGACACGTTGACACCGTAAAGTAAAATGTTTGTCTAGAAAACGTACACTTTTTCTTGAAGGGGGGTGGGAGTAGGATAGAGTGATGTCGTTTTTCAGCTCCCGGAGGTTGGCTTTGTATTATTTGGAAAGGCATGATGCTCTGCATTAGGTTAGGCCGACGTGCCAGAGCCTAGTGGCACACAATTATGCCTTGATGGCAAAATATTTTTTTCTTAGGTTCTTTCAAAACCTTTCGGAAAACAACGTTTTATAAATTGAAGAAGAAGAAAAAAGGGACACATGAAGACAGTAAAACTTCACTCGATATGAACGAGTGCTTGTGACGCTCTTATTCGGGCTAGTTTGTACATACGTGGAACATATTGCATGGATCCGCCGCAAATCACAGGCAAGGAAGATATGTACACATGATAAAAACACGGTTCATCTTGTTTACTATTTCAAAAGACGTTCTTCTTTAATACAGCTTAATATGTATGACACTCGGTATCTCTGTTTGCAACACTTAATTTATTTCTTTGTGATCCTGTAATTCCGTCTATTTTTTATTTTATATTTTGAGTACACATCTTTAGACCAATGCATCCAAGAGCTGAGAATGTATGAGACCGATGTAAATAGTTTCAGGTGGACACTAAAGCCCATCAGGTGGTAGATATTTCCGGAGTCCTCCACGACGACATCTCTCCCAATCCTACTGCCGTGGCGTGCTGTGTGCCAGGGCACCACGAGATACAGGGAAATGTATTGGCGGACCAGCTTACTGCATCAGTCCATGAAAATGCTATTGATACTTCCGTAGCTGTACCTCCACTAGACAGAAAACCCCTGTTAAGGTAAAAACTCGGAGCATACTGCTATACCTTATGAGACACACCAACTGTAAATAAGGCACGTGTTATCAAAGCGAACCTTGAAAGTTGACCAGCAGTATCGAAGTCACGCCATGCACGAAACAAATAAGACTCAGCAGGCTACGAATAAGAGACATACACAGCACGCATGCACATCTTCTGTCCAGTGGTGATACACTCATGCGCGAAAAATGAGGTGAAACCCTTTTTCTCCCATGCTTTATTACAATGCAGTGAACTAAATCATGCCAAGAAAAACAATTTCCCATTATTTTACAGAGTGTAAATGCTACTCCATCCAGCGGTACTCATAAGTGGGGATCCATTTTTCTTCACATTTTTTAATGATGTTTATTGCTTTCACGTGATTTACCATGGAGATCTGCAGCACAATATCCTAACGGAGATCGCTGCTGTGGTAGCTGCATCACAAAGGTACCTTTGTTATGGTTCTTGGAGGCAAGTGTGTTTCTCAAGCCATCCGTGCTCGTACCACTTTTTCGAAACTTCACTGTATTCGAACCTTTTGCCACTCTTTTTCACTGCACACATTTCATGTCACACTCATGATTCTAGTATCTATAGGTTTTACTCATCTTTAGGGCATGGAATTGCAGACATTTATACAGTCACCTAACATATTCAATAGTCACACTCGTCACCACGTACTGCCACTCTTTGCCATGAAGTTGCCATTGCACCAATAAAAAACATCAATCAATAAATCTCATTATTATACGGTGGCCTTGGAACGTTAAATCCCAGATATTATTGGTATTAGCCAGTGTATCGAACTTGCTTGCGTGCTACCACTTCATGATATTGTTGGAAAAAAAAAGATAGCCGTAAGGGAGGTGTATCGCTTATAAGGGTGTGTAGGTGTAAGCGTATTTAGTAAGAGCATAAGGTGATGCAATTCATGTTTATAGAAACTTGCTTTGTCATAACGTTCGGAAGATGAGAGTTTGCACCCATCCTTTCCTCATGCATTTCTTGTGGGTTTTACAACGCCGCTACTCATATTGTTCTGAGTCTACGTATATCACTTTGGTGGAGCTGCTCATTAAGAAACAAGTTGAAATTGTCCACCTTTCTAGGCTGAACATCACTGTTGTCGTTTGGTTTCGCAGGGCATGATCTACATCCACGACAGCGAGGTGTTGTCCCACGGCAACCTGCGTTCATCCAACTGCCTGGTGGACTCGCGCTGGGTGCTCCAAATCTCCGACTTCGGGCTGCACGAATTCCGCGCCGCTCAAACGTGCGCTCCACAAGCGGTCACCGAGAACGCTTATCGAGGTCAAGTCTCACTCTTCGAATTAACGTTATTAAAAACTTCACAGCGTTCTGCTTTATTAGCCTACAACAAGACGGGAAAGAAAGCAAATGTGGTAAACTTGTGACGCGCGAGACACAAGGTAAAGCGTGGCATGAAGGGCGCATATAAAAAAATTTCAAGCAGCTGATATGACCTGTTGAGACAACAGCAACAAACAAGAACGAAGAACGAAGCTTATATCGCGTTAAAAACATAATAGTTAATTATTGTCTCAAAATTTTTGCAAAGACAAACATTGATTAGAAGCAGGGAATGAGTTCTAAGCATCCATGGAGCGAGCGAAAACCTCTTATGCAAGCTAAAGAAAAGCTAATCCAGCTTATTACGCTTGATGTTCTCGTTTTTGTGGTGTCTTGAACCAAAATCGCAACCCACAGCATAGTGACTGTGTTGCTGTGCGGCAAAGCTCCAGGACACGGTTTCGACTGCCAACCGCAGCAGATGCGCTTGCGTGGGGCGAATTGCAAGGAGTAACACCTGTATACACCTGTACTTAGGTGCGCCTCAAGGAAGCTTCTTAGAGGTTGACAAAATAAATCAGCAAACAGAGGCGTGCTTTTTTCCTGTATTATTGATACTGTAATGGCACATCGCGCATAATTGCACAATATCACATGCCTTAAATTGACATTCCTAAATCACATGCCATCTAGACATGCCAACTAAAAATGCCTAAATTGTACAACATGTCATGCTTAAAATGGCGTATAACATGCCGAAAACGTTTGAAAAAAGAACACAGAACACTTACCTCGCAATTTTCCATGGACAAATGATTCATCGCTTCTTCTTGAATTGGGGCAAGCCACACTAAAAAAAACCACACTTCTTTAACGCAGTAAAACTTGACAATTCTTTCCCAGGCAGCACTACCCTAAATAAAAATTCGGCAAATATTGACCGGTCGGCATATACAACTTCAAACTTCAACTCTAAAGCTTTGTAATGGTAGCTACGGTTGCGCGGAATTACTGCTAACATGTTTGAACTTTAGCTGAACGATGGCTGCTTTCCGCCAGAACATGTTCGGGAAATTTTTGACTGTGGTGGACGCCTTGTTTATGCACATGCTCTGTGCACATGGGTAGAGCGTCAACTTTCAATGCGGGAAGTACCGTGTTCAACAATCGCGGACCGGAAAAACACCGATTTTTCTCAATGGGTTGAGAAGCGCACCAACCTGGAGCTCGGTAGTTTATGGGTACTCATCTCGAAATGTAGTCCCATAGGTTCCGCGAATATGCTAGGAAATACCTTAACCTCCCCCGGCATTGGTGAAACAGTTGAGCAACCGCCGCTTCTGATGGAGGCACAAAATTGATAGCACAAAAAAACCTACTGGTTAAATAGATACAAGTGCAGTTCCGGCAGGGTGCTTGGCAGAACGAAGTTTATAGTCGATTCGGAGAGAAATTGCGACATGGGGCTGCCATAACCAAACTTAAGGTTTTCCTCCTTTCTTTTTTTTGCCGAAATCTTCGGTACACAATCTCCTGTACAAACCTTGAGGAGTGTGCCTAAAGAATGAAAGCTCCGAAGTCACATTGGTTCGCTGGATACCTCGTGCGCAATCCAGTCGTAAACTTACCCACACAACTTCTGATTGGCTGTCCTTATAGGCATGCTTGCAACGGTTAAAATTACTGCATCAAATGATGTCACTTTTCGTTAGCAAGAATGATCAATTTACCATACGTAACCAGCTTTTCTATTTTTTCATGGGCGGTAATGTTCACAGGCCTCCTGTGGCGTGCTCCTGAGCTTCTGCGGTCACCTAGTCCACCAGCGCGCGGAACGCAGAAAGGTGACGTCTACTCCTTCGGCATCGTGCTCTACGAGATCATCGGCCGCCAAGGGCCCTGGGGCAACAAGGCCCTATCGACAAATGGTATTGCTTCATTTATTGCTCTTGATTCAGTTTTAGATAACTTTTTGATTTCTTTAAAGCAAGCATTTCTATTACTGTTACTTTCGGCTCATGTCGTGAACGAATTATAATTACCGTTTTTTTCAAGAATTTAAGAACATAAAATTCTCAAACTGATGAATTTCTGAAGTAATGCAACAATGAAGCCTTGTTCTTACCTCTGTACGATTGAGGTTAAAAAATATGCACCATCTCCCCAAAGGGAACCCTGATGGGACGCGAAGCAGCAGCGGTGTTGAGGGCGTCGATTGACTATAGAAACTGGCGTCGACGCGGGTGGTGGAAAAAAGGTTTGAAGCAAAACACGGTGCAGCTTTTACTCGAGTAAACGTTTGCGTGATATGCGAGGACACGGGAGGTGAATGCGGTTTAGCGTACGTCTCATCAGAGACATATGGGCCGAAAGAGTAGGCAGGTTTAGTCCCGCTTTTACAGGACGCCATACGGACGCAGCCTGCTAGCCATTTGCAATGGCAGGCCGCGTCTGTACGGCTGCTGCGAACGCACAACGAAATCTGTCTATACACCTTTTCACAGGAAGGAAAAAAAACACCGCCATGATGGGCTGTGCGCGGGAGTACAAAGGCTAAGGGCGCCGCGTTGCCAGTGCATTTTCGAGGGGACGCGCCAATTTGCACAGCCCAAGGAGGGCTATGGCGGCGCCCAGGGAGGCGTTTATAAAAAGGTGATACCACTCGACGTGTGGCCGAGCGTCGCGGGTGGTGGAGAGGATGAAATGAGAGAGAAGTGTGTTGCGAGCTGGCGTAGGAGCCAGGAGCAGCTGCTGCGGGTGAGGGAGAGAGCGACATCAACGCGCTGCTGCGACTTGACTTACTTCGCATGATTCCAGCAATTGCGGCGAGGGAAGCGTTGTGCGGTGCGTTGGCATGGAGACACGGACGGACAGTATTACACAGGCTATTCAAAGAGCTGCTTCGCAATCAAAAAATATGTCTTCCTTATTTTCATATGTTATATTGCTGCTTTCGGCATTTATCTCACCGTCTTTTCAACTTCTTTATTGTGAAAACCAATGCATAGGCATGACATTGCTTCTAAGCAATCTTTCTTCTTTTCAGTGATAGAATCACGGAGTTGTCTCACTGATCATGTTGTCATTAGCGAACATGCCCCTAAAATTTCTATATCTGATGATAAATGAATGTGTTGTGCGATGTCAGTGCCCGTTAAATAAAGACCAGATGGCAATATTTCCTGAGGTCTCCACTACGGCGTCTCTCAAAATCAGATCGTGGTTTTGGGACTTTAAACACAGACAATAACATTAATATTATTATTATTATTATTATTATATCCTGATAATAAAACACGCGATGAAGTAACACCTACCTTTCTACGAGTCAGTCAAGTTGCTTGAGGAAGCTTCATGGATTTCTGCTACTGATCTTCGTTCAGTTTGTATATTTTGTTATTTATGTTCAGCTTTCTACAAAGGAGGTTTCTTAAGTGGGCTTAGTCCTGTTTCATCCCCAATCAACTAACTGCGTCAGAACTCGTTGTAACTATAGCATGTGCAAACAATCTTCCTTGATGTCTCCCGATATATCCGTCCTCCCCTCTCCACCTGAGAAGGTGCTCTTCAGAGCGTTTTGAAATAGTAAGTTTGCTGATCAAGTTCACTCGCGCTGTTGATAGAAAGTTTATATGATCATCAAATATATAGCCTACCAGCGCACTTTGACCAATAAACTTGGGTAAATGGAAGTACCAGTATCCTGTCTTTGAACATCTTTCTGATGTTGGCATGGAAACAGTCGCACGATGTATTTTCAGAATTCATTCCGATGAAAACTCCAGAGATTCTAGAGTATCACTCATGCTACAACTGTGATGCAACGCAAGCGTAAGACCTCGGCTTTGTGTTATTGGGCGCGTTACCTCCGGTAATCGTGCTTCGCCCTGCTGTGGTCCTCCCGGATGAATTTACTCTCTACCATCGTGATGCAGAGGTGATCGAGCAGGTCAGGCGGCGAAACAGCGTCCCGTACCGTCCACCCACGGACTGCCTCTCCTGCCCCGACTACGTGCTACGATGCATGCAAGAGTGCTGGGACGAAAACCCCGACAGTAGACCCGACTTTCGATTCATCAATGTGAAACTGCGACAAATGCAAGCTGGCCTGTGAGTGTACACGCGCTAACATTCATCCTCACTTTACGGTGCTAACCGAGTTAGTGTGTGAACATCCGTCGATGATTTTCTTGTCCTAATGAAGCACCATGTTACCTCCCGGATATCACCAATTCAATGTCCTATTATACCTGTGCACCTAGTGCATTTCTGAGCGCCGCTGAGCGCGATAGGTTCAGATTTCTCAGCAGTGATTGGGAATCTTCAGCAGCTTCCTGAAATTGGTTTTATACAGTAAAGAAACTTCATCCGAAACCGCCCAGATTGCGATAAAAGCTGATTGTGATGTTATTGGGGCAGGACCGCTCCAGAAAGAACCAGACAGCACGCCAGTGCACAAACACACGTCCAACTTCTATTGTACCCTTCACACATGGACAACCCACACATTACGAAGTTCCTAACACAAAAACACGCGGCTAAACTAAATGAATAAGTAGAACGTTCGGCCTACAGTTCAGGTCGTCGGGGTAGTAGCCTGGGCCGTCGTTGATGCCCCGTCGGCAACATTCAGTGGCGAAGTCGACGTTGGGCGGCGTCGTCACCTGCAGTGACGAAGTCGGGAGACGCAGGGTCGCCGCGTCGAACTCCAGTGGCTCAGCGCCACTGTCGACGAACTGGAGCCGACGACCCACGTGTTCCGGCGGCAGGGAGTTGTGCCCTTGAGCACCTGTAGTCCGCCTCGGAAACCCACGCCAGCCCTCCTGGAACAGCGGCGCAAGGGCAGGTTCAGGCACCCGGCGCCAGCTCTCCACGACTAGCGGGACAAGGACAGGTTCAGGAACCTGGCGCCAGCTCTCCTAGACCGGTCGTCTAGCGGAGGCTGAGCTGTCCACTCGGCTGGTACGAGTGTCGCGACGTGGCCTGGGTCGTACCTATGGGCCAGACGCCCAACGAGGTAGTCCTGCCTCGAACGACGTACCTCGCGCACTCCCGAAGGCACGGGTCACGCACGCTCGAGGCCGCGCCTCACGAGCTGTCGTCTTCCTCGTAGGCACCGCCCGGCACATACACGCACACATCACATCCTCTTCGCCACCGCACGGCACACTATTGTCGTTTTTTTAGTTTCTGTTTCGCGCCCGCGCAGCACATATTATGACATCACCCCCTTTTCCGAGAAAGTTGTTTGCAACTATTCTACTACAAGGGCGCGGGGCGAACGAATGGTCACTGCACTGCACGGTCACTGCACGGTCCCTGCACTGCACTGCATTGTCTTAGGGGTCGCATGTACATAGTAGCAGAATGTTCACAGAAGGCTGCTTACAGTTCGGTTGGAAAACTACCGTACAAGTAGGGTTGCTATGTCGCAACTAGGAGTCAACTATTCACGACTGAGGGCTCGTAGTATTAAGAACCACGTTGCTACCTAAACGGCAGTTATGCGCGACTCAAGTAGTCGGCTTCAACATTGTCACAACCTTTGATGTAATGAACTGTGAATGAGTACTCCTGCATAAGGAGACTCCACCTCAACACTCTGTTGTTCACGTGTTTGGCGGAATTTAAATACTGTAATGGTTGGTGGTCTGACTGAATGACAAAAGGTTTGCCATAGAGGTAAATATGAAATTTTTGCACTGCCCAAACAAGTGCAAGGCATTCCCGTTCTATTGTTGAATAGTGGGTTTCTCGGGGCAATAAATTATGACTTGCGTAAGCAACTGGATGCAGCACCTGGCCCTTTCCCATCTGGAGCAATACTGCGCCCAGGCTTGTATTGGAGGCATCCGTACGAAGAACGAACTCCTTCGAGAGGTCGGGAGCAAGGAGGATGGGAGCATCACCGAGCTTCTTCTTGAGGGCCGTAAACGCTTCCTCTTGATGTGCGCCCCATGAAACAGTGTGGCTTTGTCCCTTTCTTGTAAGGTCCGTCAGCGGCTTGGTCAGTTCGGCGTAGTTAGGTATAAACTTCCTGTAATAGCCGGTCAAGCCAAGAAACGACTGCACTGCTTTCTTGGTTGTAGGTCGTTTTGCGGCAAGAATCTTGTCTAGCGTTTTGAGAAGCGGTTCAACTGTAGTCTCCCCGATTCGCTGTCCCAAGAAGGATATGCTTCGCTCATCTATCTCACATTTACTTGGTTTTACGGTGAGGTGAGCTTGGTTAATTCGTTCAAAAACTTGTCTGAGGGTGTCGATGTGCTCTTGCCAAGTATCGGTCGCAATGATGACATCGTCGAAATAATGGTGAACGTTGTCGACACCACCCAGTACTGATCTCATAAGGCGCGCGAATACTGCTGGCGCCGTTTTAATGCCAAAAGGCATGTAGAGGAAGTGATAGAGCCCAGACATGCTGGAGAAAGCAGTTTTTTCACGACTGTTTGGATCCATCGGTACTTGCCAGTATCCTTTCGTGAAATCAACTTTGGAGAAAAACTGCTTTTGTCCAACAAGTGCAAGAACTACATCGATGCGTGGTATTGGCTCGCAGTCGGGGACCAGAATCTTGTTCAATTCTCTGAAGTCTATGCACAACCTAATCGTGTTGTCCGGTTTCTTCACCACGACAATGGGAGCGTGGTACGGCGACTGAGACCGCTCAATAATACCGAGTTTCAGAATCTCTTGCACTTCCTTTTCTACTCTTTCTTGCAAGGCAAGGGGGATGGGGTACTGCGGAACATGCACAGGCTTATTGGAGGTCAGACGTAGCGAACACTCCACGAGTGCTGTTTTCCCTGGTAAGTCAGAAAAAATGTCCGCATACTCTTGAAAAAGTGCTTGCACATTCTGAACTTGTTCAGCAGTGAGGTGTGGTGATAGCTTGACATCCGTGCTGAACTGCGTGCGATACAAGCTCAATATGGGCATTTGTTTGACTTCGTCTTCTTCTTCGGGGAGATTTTCGTGGAGCTCTGCAACAACTGACACCTGTTGTGGTTCCGTCACTTCGCGCTCTTCGTATTTTTTGAGCATGTTGATATGAAAAATCTTGTTTTTCCCAAACACGTCGATGACGTAGTCGACATCATTTTTCCGTTCGATGACTTGGAACGGCCCTTTCCACTGCATTAACAGCTTGTTGGAGTCAGTCGGGAGCAGAATTAAAACCTTGTTGCCTGGGCATAATTTTCTAGGGCGACTTTTCCTGTCATAATAGGTTTTCTGCTTCACACGAGCCTTCTCCAGCTGTTCATGGGCTATCTTGCAAGTCTCCTCTAGGCGATTGCGCAAATCAAAGACGTAGGTGTAAGTCGTCCGCGTTTCTGCGTCTAGCCCCTCATTTGTCCACAGTTCTCTCAGCACGGTTAGCGGTCCTCGGACGTGGCGGCCGTAAATGAGCTGAAACGGAGAGAACCCGAGGCTTGTCTGTGGAACTTCCCTATATGCAAAGAGTAGCGGAGCTAGGTACCTGTCCCAAGATCGAGGTCTCTCTTGGCACATTCTCTTTAGCATTGTCTTCAGGGTGCCATTAAATTTCTCCACGAGACCGTTCGCCATCGCATGATATGGGGTTGTCTTTAGCATCTTCACGGAGAGAAGCCTGCTAACCTCGTTCATTATTTCTGAGGTAAAACTTGCCCCTTGGTCGGTGACGATCTCCTTTGGTAAGCCGATGCGGGAAAAAATCTCGATGAGTGCTTCCGCAATGTGAACTGCATCGATTGCGGGCAATGCTACAGCGTCAGGGTAGCGAGTCGCAAAATCGATAAGTGTCAGAACATATCGGTTCCCACGGTCCGATCTTGGTGAAAATGGGCCGATTAAATCAACCGCGACCCTTTCAAAAGGTGTCCGGATAAGAGGCATGTTGCCTAGTGGTGCGACTCCAACTTTTCCTTTAGGGGTAGTTCTCTGGCACTTGTCGCAAGACTTGACAAAGCGCTTTACGTCTCCGTTCAGGTCAGGCCAATAAAATTCTTCTAGGACACGATCAGTAGTTCTTTTGATGCCTTGGTGTCCCGCCATGATACTGCCATGAGCAATGTCCAGTATGCCTACCCGGAACGCTTTCGGAGTGACCAGCTGTTTAAACGTCCTGCCAGTGGCAAGGCGGTAGCGTCGATAAAGCAATCCTTTATCTTCGATGAAATCGTAACAGTGGCCCTTTCCCGATTTGAACTCTTTATTCACTTTAGCAAAGACAGCTTTGAGTGTCGGGTCATTTCGCTGTTCCTCGGCGAGTTGGGCTCTGGTAACGTCAGGTAAGAGCGTTGTTGACACGTACAAAGGCCTGATATTTTCTTGACCTTGTTGATTGGCTTTGGTTTTTGCCACGCTTGAAGAAGCAGATCTTGAGGTGACAGGTGACTTGGTCGGGTGTGCTTGCGCAGGTAACTCATCCACCTGGGTATGAGTCGCCTGCTTCCAGTCAGAATCTGGATCGTATGGTCCTCTGACGCCTGGAAGATTTCCCAGCACAAGGTCATAGAGGGGTTGATCCATACAAGCCACTTTCAGCATCCCTGTGAAGTACGGCGTGTTGACTTGTACAATAGCTTCCGGGAGATGGCTAGTTGACCTGTCTAGGAGAACGACACTGATTTTCTTGCCTGTCAGGCACACATCAGGAACGAGCTCCCGTCGGACGATTGCCGTGTTGCATCCCGTATCGCGTAAGACTCGACCTCTCTTCCTAGCAGCAGACCTTCGACCACTGGCATCCTGTCGGCCAGGAAACGTATTGTACCCTGCACGTTCTTGTCGTCGTGGTGACTTGAGCAAGGAATCTTCCCTCCTGGACGCTTGGCTGTTTTTCTAGCACCAGCCCGGGCAGAGTCAGGTTCGCTAAATGCGCACGAAGAACTCGGTTTGTTGTTCCCATGCTGGTTTCGGCAAGTTTCTGTGACATGTCCCGTTTTACCGCACAACTTGCATTTCAGCATCTGCTTAGGTGGATTGCGGCAGTCAGGAGCCAAATGTCCGAAACGATGACACAGGATACACTTGAGTTGCGGTTTCCGCGACGCTTCGGTAGGCTTTCCACTGGATTCTTTCGCGGGGTCAGGACCTTTTCCTATATTAGTCACATTCTGCGCCTCAAGGAAGCGATCCGTCAAATTAGCGAGTTCATCTAGTGACTTGCACTCTCGCTCTTTTAAGAAAACAACCAGCTTTGGATGGCAACAACGCAAGAATTGCTCAGAGATTACGTGATCCCTTAGACCTTCATAGGTTTGGGATACGTTTGCCATGTCTATCCAATGGTCGAAATAACTGGTAATTCTTGCTGCTAACTGTCGTCCAGTTTCACCATCTGCTGCTCGTGCTTTCCGAAACTTATCTTGGTAGCCTTGAGCCGTAAACTGAAATCTCTGCAGTAGAGCTTTCTTTACTTTTTGGTAGTCCAGCGAATCAGCGGCAATCATTCGGCCTATCACGGTTAACGCGTCACCCGTTAGGCACAGGCTAACAGCGAGACCCCATTTTTCTTGCGGCCAATCCTGTCCTGTGGCTACGCGCTCGAATCGCTGCAGATACGCGTGCAGATCATCGCGTTTCTCGTCAAACACAGGCAGTAACTTCTGCGGATTGAGGGGTGAGGAGGTGCTGGGCGCAGTCAAAGCGTCATTAGCTGCTACAGGCATATTCTGAGCTCCTTCCTGAAGCTTTAGCTTAAGCTGCAGAATTTCACGCTGCCTCTCGTCAGCTTCTTTGGCTGCCTCTCGCTCTGCAGCTCTCTCATCCCTTAGCTTAGCCTGTTGGGCCTCAATCCACTTGTTTAGCTCTGCACCCGAGAACCCTAGTTGGAGCCCTATAGCGGCGAGTTTTTCCAAGTCCATGGTGCAGTCTGAACGTGTGTCTGCCTCGAGCGAAACTGTCTTCTTTCCCTGGTTTAACGAGCGGATCCTGGCAGGCTCGCCAGTTTGTGATGTTATTGGGGCAGGGACGCTCCAGAAAGAATCAGACAGCACGCCAGTGCACAAACACACGTCCAACTTCTATTGTACCCTTCACACATGGACAACCCACACATTACGAAGTTCCTAACACAAAAACACGCGGCTAAACTAAATGAATAAGTAGAACGTTCGGCCTACAGTTCAGGTCGTCGGGGTAGTAGCCTGGGCCGTCGTTGATGCCCCGTCGGCAACATTCAGTGGCGAAGTCGACGTTGGGCGGCGTCGTCACCTGCAGTGACGAAGTCGGGAGACGCAGGGTCGCCGCGTCGAACTCCAGTGGCTCAGCGCCACTGTCGACGAACTGGAGCCGACGACCCACGTGTTCCGGCGGCAGGGAGTTGTGCCCTTGAGCACCTGTAGTCCGCCTCGGAAACCCACGCCAGCCCTCCTGGAACAGCGGCGCAAGGGCAGGTTCAGGCACCCGGCGCCAGCTCTCCACGACTAGCGGGACAAGGACAGGTTCAGGAACCTGGCGCCAGCTCTCCTAGACCGGTCGTCTAGCGGAGGCTGAGCTGTCCACTCGGCTGGTACGAGTGTCGCGACGTGGCCTGGGTCGTACCTATGGGCCAGACGCCCAACGAGGTAGTCCTGCCTCGAACGACGTACCTCGCGCACTCCCGAAGGCACGGGTCACGCACGCTCGAGGCCGCGCCTCACGAGCTGTCGTCTTCCTCGTAGGCACCGCCCGGCACATACACGCACACATCGCATCCTCTTCGCCACCGCACGGCACACTATTGTCGTTTTTTTAGTTTCTGTTTCGCGCCCGCGCAGCACATATTATGACACTGATATCCCAGCAGTATGACACTGTTAAAAACCCTTTTCATCTTTTTTGTGAATCGATACTTGTCATGGTAATGACAGTTATTCGTTTAAAAAAACATGTTCAAGCTGTTTTGAGACCACTATATTGCCGTCAGAGAGTATTAAGAAGCGCCAAATAAGTTAACGTGTCTCTTCAAAGGAAGTGGTTTACTTGGCAAGTCGTCCCCAATTAAAAAGAGTAACACGCGAAACGTTTTCTTTTCTTAGAATGCACGCGTTGTCAGTACCCATTCACTTTTAATAATGTCTGAAATTATGCATGAGTACTGCCTGCTGCACGAAGACTAAGGCAACTACGTGATTATCGCTTCCTTTTGTTTGCGTATTTGCAGTAAGCCCAACATATTCGATAACATGATAGCCATGATGGAGAAGTACGCAAGCAACCTGGAGAGTTTGGTGCAAGAGCGCACCATGCAACTCCTCGAAGAAAAGAAAAAGACTGAACGCCTCCTCCACCGCATGCTGCCGAGGTATTTTTGATGCTGTACTTTAGATAGCTCAAGTGCTTACAAATTGGCTGAGATCGAACCATGCTGAACTTGCTCGCTGTAAAGCTTTTGTGCCTATCCAAAACATAACAATAATAATGTTATCAGCACATGCTGGAGGAAAATATGTTTTGAGAAAATAATGAGTGCACCTTACAGAAGTCAGCACGTTAAGAATGACATGAAAAGAAGTAAACGAACACCGCATGTGATAGATAGATCTAAGAGGCTCCGAGGAAGCGTCGGTAAGAACACATAAGCTATAACAAACTAACATAGAGTATATGTATTTGATTTACACAACGGAAAAGATTTTTATAAGTTGCATTACGTTTAGTGAAATTATCAGTTCGGGAACCATTGATGGTGAATACAAAAATAAAAAAATGCTAACTTCCCGACGCCATACCATTCTTAGACACGTTTCGTTTTTAGTAATGATCAAAAAGTAAACTAAGGAGCTCTTGTGACGACTTCGTAGCGACGGCGAGCCCTTTGCGCTTTGTTCTTAGAAAATATGAAATCGAGAAGCTGAAGTAATAAATATACATATATAAATGCCTACATCGGTAAGTGCGAAGCCTATAGTTTGGGCAGAGCGACTACATAGTCTCGATGTACACTTTCAGTGTAACCCTCTCAATATCTATCGCAAATGGTGGTGTTCTCAGAAAAAAAAAGTTGGAACATTTTCAGCGTTTTCCATGCAGTTTATCTTTTATGGCCATGCAGGTATTGTGCCGCAAACGTAAGCATTTGCTACACGAGCCTACCATGTGGAATTTCCGTTCGAGCCACCGTCTATGTGTGTAGTACTTGAGACAGTCGAGCAACGGCGGTACACATCCTTGTCGTCTTCCCCACACGAACATGGTGATGGTGGTGCCAGCACAATCACCGAAACAAATTATACTTCTTCATGCACAAGCGCTCTATTTATTTTCAAAATAAGCCAATAATAATAAGTCGAATTGCACTTTTTTGGATTTAGGCTAAGCTAAAGTAGGTCTCTAGGCAAGGTCGATATTAGTTTTTATTTCAGCTTTTAAAAGCTTCAAATATTTTCAGAAGGCTGCCAAAAAATCCTAACAATGCGTCAGCCACTTATGCCTACATTCAGGAAATGACAAAAAATAAGCTAGCATTTATTTATTCATTTATTTTACCTTCAGGGTTTTCATATAACAGCATCGCCTTTAAACCCACCACGTCACAAGGCCATTCAGTCAGGAACCACCGTGAATTGTTACTTGTGCATCATCTGGTTAGGAAAATTACTTTGATCAGTAATAGAAAAAAAATTATGGCATATATAGCGCACTTATGGTGCTAAGGCTAAAGAAGCAGTGAAGCTGCTGTCTTTCTCTGTTTTCTCCACTTCAGCGTCAATTGACACTAAACAGGCTGGTTTCACTTGACTTTCAGGGGATTGTGAGCAGCCCCACTTGTACTAATAATATCTGGGGTGTGATGTCCCGAAACCAGGATGTAATTACGAGGGACTGCGAAGGGGAGGGCTCCGCATATTCCGACCATCTGCGAATAACATCTAACAGCGCACGGGCGCCTAGCGTTTCGCTTCCAATGTGCTACCGCCGTGGCTGGGATGAAACCAATAATCTTCGGGTGCCGAGCACTTTGACCACTGTACCACAGCGGCGGGAAATCCCCCACTTGTGCAATTTTAATTATTACTCAATATATTTTCTTTCAAGCAGTGAAATTCTTGCGTGTGACTATTAGGAATCCTCCAACGGTGATGACATATGTGACTAATGGACATACGTCATGACTGTTGACACATATGTCACCTATGACATATGTGACCATATATATACGGCTACTTTGATGTTTGCCCTCACTTTTTTTCTAATAGTGGAATGCCGTAACTTCTTTCTTTGTACAAGCAAAGCGAGTAAGCATGGCTCCAATTTCTGAGCTCACGTTAATTAAAAAAAACCTAAATAGGTACTTGTGCTTTCGAAAATTTGTATTACCCGCCCCCCCCCCTTTCACCTGTTAGAGCGCCCAGAGACAGATTTAGTTCAGGGCACACCGTGTTTGAGGGCCCGCAACGGCTAACTACGTGCAAGCCTCGGTTTAACATGACTGGCAGGCTACCTACGTTCACAGAGCTGCGGCAAATGCTCAACTAAACCTGTCTAACCTATTGCGTGTAACAAATAGCCAAGATGGTTGTTAGGTCTCATTAGTGAAGCTGCCATTTCCACTGATACCATGGAGTTTTCTTAATGAACACTAGAGTGAACTATGCCGCTAGTGTCTATAGGTGCTGCAACGCACGGGGCTTCAGTGAGCATAGAAATGATGAGTACTTCACGGATTTGTCTAATCTTCGTACTTCTGGCTCCATGTGTGTTCACGTGGCTTGAAGCTGTCTTTTCACGAGACAAAATCAGCAAATGTTCATCGCTTTCGCTTAACCAGGTTGTTCTTTAAGGCGTACTATTTCAAATAGAGTCACGAAGCTCAAAAGAGTTTGTTCTTTCCTTTTAAACAAAACTGAAACAGAGTACTAAAAGAAGCGACAAGTGCGATTCGCCGCCCACAAGTACGAAGATTAGTCAAATCCGTGTACTACCCATTATTCCGATGGTCGCTGAACGACCGCAGTGCCAGAGTCCCCTCTAGTTGATATCAGGAAACTCTATCACAGAATGGTCCTGATAATTTACTATCTCTAATATCCAGAACTGCTGAGCTTCCTGCGCAATTTATTGCGGAGACGTTAAAAATGGCTAAAGATTGTGCGAAGTTCCGCGAGGCTTCCAACAGTGAAATTGGATAATCATGAAGTCTAATCTGGTTGCTTCCAGGTAATTGCTAAGCTTTAGTGAGGCGGTGTTAGGTTGTGTCTCTGTTTTGTCTCCGAGCAGCGAGATTTCGGTTATACCACAAACACTCACAGGCTGAAACCAATTGTTCATATCTGCTGTAAATGTACGGGTGCATCGTTATTCTCGTGGGGCTACAATGGCTTGGAAGTCTTGAAGCCAGCGCTGTTTTTCATGATCCCTAGTGTTCTCGTGTTGTACGTGCCGCTGAAGCATTCCGCACAGATGCTTCAAAGAAACTTGAATGTGCAGCCTGCGTTGTTTATGACTTGATTAACCTCTAAGGTTTATAATGTTTTTTGCTAATTACTGGTTACAGCTCTTTGAACATTAATTGGTGTTTGGCGGCCATTTGTTGCCATTTTGTTTTTGGTTTAGCTACGGTGAGTAGTAGTAACTTTTAATAGTTTGTGTCAAATATCCGTTCTCGTCTGTTTTTTTACTTTTTCGCGAGAGCCTGTCCTTAGGTATAATTATTGGGTCTTTCAAACGTACAAATGTAATTTTTCTTTGTGTATAAAGTGTACTAATAATCGATGGTACCATCAACGAATGGAATGGTCGAGGTGCGGTGGCCAGCCAGGCCGGAGACTCGTTGCAAGAAGTCGGTGAAGATGGCTTAGTTGCATGCATGTGCATGTCTTCCGGAAATGTATGGCAGTCACGTCGCAGATTGAGGTGTCGCAAGTGAGCATGATATATAAGATTTGAGCACAGTATTTTGTACACACCGACCTTTTTACAACCGGCTTGAAAAGCTCACCTGTTATAAACCCGTATTAAGTTCACATGTGCAATGTTACGCATTGCCCTCTTCCTCAGGTCAGTAGCAGAACAACTGAAGCGAGGCGAGCGAGTGGAGGCCGAGAGCTTCGACAGTGTGACAATCTATTTCAGCGACATCGTAGGATTCACAGCACTCTCGGCAGTGTCATCGCCACTGCAGGTAAGTAACGTGCGAAGACGGTCGATGAAAACTATCACTTAGCCTTCCAGGCCGAGTTCTTGGGGTGCAGGTGCACTCGTGTGGATGCACTTCATTGGGGGGGGGTCTCGTGGCATGCGTTATGTAACAATGATCAAGCTCTCTGAAATCGTACACCTACCATTGAGCATATTGTTAAAGCCAATCACTTATAAAGCTGCCACTTAATGTGATTAGAAAACTATGTTATGGCTAGTGTATTGCAAAAGAGCTTCTGGTAATTCTGTTGTGGCATGGTATCTACTCATCTGTGGCTAAGAACGTTGCAGTTACTACTCTTTTCCGTCCGGGTCATCCTGTGTGTTGGGCAATTTGCTGTTACACGCACGCACGCACGCACGCACGCACACACACACACACACTCACACACACACAAACACACTCACACACACACAATACACACACACACACACACACACATACATACATATTTATATATATGCATGGAGGTGGAGTGGCCGTAGCTTTGCAAGTAGTCAAGTATATCCTCCGTGAGCAGTCAGACCATGGTTTATTTCGACGTTTCATTCAGAGTCTGTTACGAATGTTTCAATGGATAAAAGATTATATAACTGGCAAGGGTTTCTTTGTACAAACATTTGAGGGTACAACTGTTCAACATTACACCTACTGAGGGGTACCTCCGGGAGGTGTTTTAAGCCCCACATTGTTCAATGTTGCCCTCATTGGTCTGGTGAAGGTTCTGCCAAAGTCGGTGTGCCTATCCATATACGCCGATGATACTTGCCTCTGGAGTGCTGCAGTTAGTCGCCCTCAGGTGCGTGCACGAATGCAGCGGGCAGCGACCCTCACAACAGCCTATCTTCAGAAACAAGGCCTAAACATATCAACTGTGAAGTGCGCGTTGATGGCGTTTAGACGCAAACCAATGACGCCATACCCTGTATACATAAATGGGCAGAGTGTCAAATATGCACGGACGCATTGTTTCCTGGACATAATAATCGACAAAAGTCTTTCGTGGAGCCCACATTGGGCGTACTTGAAGAAGAGACTGCTATCTATTGTTCATATAATGAAATTCTTGTGCGGGAAAGCATGGGGAACTTCTGTGGCCTCCATGCTGCAGCTGTGCGGGGCCCTATTTCTGGGTCTAATGCGCTACAGCTTGCCGGTACTGACTAACACTTGCAAATCGAATACTCATTTATTGGAGAGTTTGCACGGTCAGGCACTGCGTATTTGCCTAGGACTGCCCCGATGCGCTTCTACATATGCCACAATCATGCTTGCCAAAGACCATCCGGTCAGGACATATATAGTTGTGGATTGCCTCAGAGCGCACATTCGACATGCTAGCCGTGTCCCCGACCACCACTTGGCCCTTCTACCTTCCGGAAGACCACGTGCTACGTTTTCAGACGTCATAGCCAAGCACCAAAACAGCAATCCATCAGGATATACGCCAGCTGCGAGAATGGCATGTCCTTTGTGGTGCCTCAACCAGCCGCAAGTACGTCTAGAAATTCCGGGAATCAAAAAGAAAAGCAATCACTCCAGAGTAGCATTGAAGCAAGTAACACTGCTATAAAACATGAGTTGTACTTAGACCGAATGCAGATATACACTGATGGGTCCGTCTCGTCCAGCAGCTCATCAGGTGCCGCTGTAATTCCGGCTACAGCAATGAAAATCAAGTTTAAGTTGTCGCATATGACTACATCTACGGCATGAGAGCTTGCTGCTATAAGGGCTGCTTTACAATATCTCGTTCAAGAACGTCCAGGAAAATGGGTCATATTCTGTGATTCGAAGGCAGCGCTTCAGAGTTTGCAATCTGCCATGCGTAGGAGGAGTCATGACCAATTGGTACAAGAAATAAGACATTGCTATCATGAAGCTTTAGCCCGAGGGCATTATTTTATATATCAATGGATGCCTGGACATATTGGTATTACCGGAAATCAATCAGCCGATGATGCAGCCCGCTCAGCCCATGAAGAAACCCGTGTAGTCCCGATTCCTCTATCAAGGAATGATGCTGCAAGACAACTTTACCTGCTGGCTCGAGATTTCACACGCACGTTCTGGTCGTCTACCGGCTTCCAAAGGTGTCAATTTTATGAACTGGATCCTTCGCTCAAGCTAAAGCTACCATCACAACTTTCCCGCTCCGATGCGACACTGTTATGCCGCCTTTGGTTGGGTGTTGCATTTACAAAGGTGTACTCCTTTCGCATTGGTATGGCAGACACCTCTACATGCGACTACTGCGGAGCTGAAGAGACCATCGAACACGTCCTGTGTGGCTGCGCTTGCTACGACACACAGTGATGCCAGCTCCGGATGGTTTTGAATCAACTTGACCCCGGACCTTTTTGTGTGCAGAAGATACTAGGACCTTGGCCATCTGCCTCAGTTGCGCGGAAATCAACTAAAGCACTGCTACTTTACTTAAAGTCAACAAACCTGAGCGACCGCCTGTAGACTGTGTGTGCTCCCCGAGTGTGCTCGTGATTGTGTGTACCTTCTCATCTTTCTGCAACCTCTTTTCTCCCCTTTATTCCTTCCCCAGTGCAGGGTAGCAAACCGGATGTGTGTCTGGTTAACCTCCCTGTCTTTCCTTGCATCTTTATCTCTCTCTCTCATTCTGAGTCTGGCCTTCATCAGGAGTTAGGGTACAGTGTGTTGGTGCGCAGCTTTATACAGTCTCAAAGAAGAGAGGGTACGCAGAAAAAAAGAAGAAAAAAAAGCAATGAGAACATGTGGTAGACCCCTCATGGTCTACTTCATGTTCTTATTGTTTTTTGCTCCTTTTCGCGTACCCTGATTTCTGATTAAGGCTAAACTCTGACTGAAACGTCGAAATAAATCACGTTGTGACTGCTAACGAATTATATATATATATATATATATATATATATATATATATATATATATATATATATATATATATATATATATATATATATATATATATATATATATATATATATATATATATATATATATATATATATAGGACATTTGAAAAGGAAATCGCCTTTACTAACGTTTCGACCGTGGCACGGCCTTCGTCAGAATTCATCACAAAAGAATTCATCACTCTGGCGAAGGCCGTGCCACGGCCGAAACATAGTAAAGGCAATTTCCTTTGTGAAATGTGCTATCTGCAGCTTCATTCAATATAGAAATTACCCGAACCAGTCGTGCCTTCCCTTCTACATACATACATACATACATACATACCTACATACATACATACATACATACATATACGTATATATATATATATATATATATATATATATATATATATATATATATATATATATATATATATATATATATATATATATATATATATATATATATATATGAGAGAGAGAGCAATTGAATCCACATCTATTAATGACGCGCAGTACGCTTTAGTATTAACCTTGTTTCTGGTGGCAACATAACTTTATTTGTGGTTTTACGCAGACACAGTGGTTTTGAATGTTGTTGAGCTCTGCATTGCCAACTGACCCTTCATTCACATTATTGTGCTTGCTGTTTTCTAGGTGGTGGAGCTTCTCAACGACGTGTACACCTGCTTCGATTCTATAATTGGTGCCTACGACGTGTACAAAGTGGAAACCATCGGCGACGCTTACATGGTGGTCAGCGGGCTGCCGCTACGCAATGGACTCCGTCACGCCGCCCAGATTGCCTCCATGGCCCTGCACCTGCTCGCCGCAATACGGTGTTTCGAGATTCGCCACCGACGAGGCGAACGGCTCCAGCTGCGCATCGGCATTCATTCTGGTCAGAATGAGTTGATATTTCAGTGTCTATAGCACCCGTTCTTCTAGTGAACATCAGACTCTAAAGCAAAAAAAAAGGACAGAGAAGACTAGACAAGAGAAAAAGAATGAAAAAGACGAGAAAAATTGATGAATCCGATGAAAAACGAATAAGGCTGCCTTGCTCCGCAATCTCTTGAAGATCGGCACCAGTGGTGCGGAATTGCCTCACTTTTTTTAAGACTAGCAGTTTCTTTTTTTCAAATTCCGACAATATCTTCAGTTAAAAGAGAACTTGCACACCATGACACGCAGGCAAACGCCCTTGAGCGCACAATTTTTCTATTTTTTTTACGCCGAATTGCACAGACCTGCACACAGAGTCGACTTGCAGGAGAAATTATGCGAGCTTCCCGCCTTTGTGACAAAAAAACGATCTGTGCATTAGCCATCCTTGAATTTCTTTGTCGTGGAGCAAACTGACGTATTTTCAGGTGGCGTATCGTGATTAGCTTTTTTTTGGCAACAGGCTATGGCTTTATGTGATGTATATGTTTGGTTAACCCCATTTTTGTGGTTATCGATGTCGATGTGCACGTGACATCTCGCATAAAATTGCTCGTTCTTTCTAATAAACTTTTTCGTTGCTAGTCAGTGCTTCTCCCGTTGATATTACCTTCTTTGCACTCGTGTAGTTGCGCTATATAGATATTAGTGCAGGAAGAAAATTTTGAGTCCACTACGGATTAGAAAAATGTTTTCGGACTCTCCTCTGATGAAGTCGTTTCTCCTTCCCCCCTCGTACCTACCATAGCGTTGCCAGCCGTGCTTTCAAGTACGGTCTCAAACTTTTAGACTTGGCCTGGTTCGAAGCTGCGCAAACTGATATAGCAGCACGACCATTATTTTCTACGTGTACATGTATGTAACTTGTTTCCAAACTGGCATAGTGTGGTAGTTTTGTGTTGCTACGTGTATGCACTCCTTATTGTTCCCGCGTTACTTTTTGATATGCTACTTCTGAGAACAGTAAGAAAGTGAAGCTTGCATAAAATACGTAAATTGATGCCATAGGCGCGCGCAGGTTTCTCCGACAGAAGGGGGGGGGGCGAAGGCTCATCGCACAGCCTGCCCCCCCCCCTCCTCGCACACACCAAGTCAAAGTCTGGGGTACATATACTGCGCTCCCAATTCATAGGTTACTATAGAGGTTTTTAGTTTGACGTTTTTCCGCTCCGCTTAGCAGCTAAGCGGAGCGGGAACGCGAGTGCCCATGCGCCCTCCGCTAAGGCCTTAAGCGGGTTACCGGAGCGGGAATACGGTCCGCTTACGAGCAGCCTAAGCGGAGCGTGGTGCGTCGCTGCCGTTTTTGCAAGCGGAATGGGGTAGAAAGCCCACATACGCCGCGCCTTCGTCGCGGCGCAAGTAGGTTTTTTAGAAGGGGGAGAACGCGCGCGCCCTCTCTCGTGCATGCAGCAACTTTGCTCATTTCAATATGGCTTCCTCCAGAGATGGCACGCTTTCCGCGAGTGCTGTAGCTTCGCCGTCACCTGCCCAGCGGAAGCCGCGAAAACACAGTTTCAACTCTGAAAAATTAAAACACCGCCACCGCACACGCGTCAAAAGCGCAAACAACACACAGTGAATCACGAAGGAAGGTGCAGTGAATGCTTGCAATAGATCTGGAACGGAACCTTGCTGGCTTTTGAGCGGCTACTATCAAATCAGAGCTTGCTTCTTTGTCAAAAAAATAGACGATTACATTGAAAGTAGATTTCTAAATACTTCATGAAAAGATAATTTATACGTTATTGTTTTGCTTTGTACACGTGAAAAAATGTTTTTTATTTTGTTTGCTGGTGACGAAAACGACCAGAGGGCGCTGCAATTGCGAAAGGTCCGCTTCGCTGCCGGCAACGAATAACTAAAAGAGGAAAATCGGCCGCCGCTCCGCTGCGGCTTCGCGGGTGCTCCCGGAGCGGGGCGGACCACAAAAACGTCAAACTAAAAACCTCTTATGACGGGTACCGCCTCCACCGGTCCGTGCCCACGACTATGGTCACTGCTGCTGCCTCCGTTCATGCGCATAATTTCCACGAGCTCACCGTCATTCATCAAGAACTGCAGAACTCACTTTACGAGCGATGATACATAAAAGTGCGCGAAGTGTGACAGCGGATGCTGAAGCAACTAATATTGTCACTATGCAACGCATTCGTGGCACCGAAAAAGGTAGATGAGGGTGGTAATTGGGATTTGTTTACATAGTTGCATTATACGGAACGGCTGCTCAATTGTGCCTTCTTTTGTTATCGGCCTTAGCCTGCACTACAATCATTTATCATGCCCGGAAACAGTTCATAAAAAATGCTCTTACGATCAACTGCGAAAGAGTTTCTTCACACCACTCGAGCGCCTTGTATAGCTCATTTGGACTTCAGAGCACAGCAACTTTTCGTGCTCGCTGACTTTGTCCACTCTGTGAAATTTTATAACTCAGTACACAGTTTTGTGTTTATTATATGGCCAGTAGGATAATGAAAAAACATTTTTCGAACAAGCAGCACGTTATGAAGATGGGAAAGCGAAATAAATGGTTACTTTAATATGAGAACAGCAGTCTTCTGACTCTGAGAGTAGTGCGCAGCCCAAAAATGAATCCTGGTGGCGTGGTACCTCATGAAGGCGCCATACAGTGAGAGTTAGAATGTCTTAGTATTCTCGCTGGCCATGAGTGAGCGTAGAAAGAAACGTTATGCGGCATCATGACCGGCTTTGCTTGCTTGACTATTGTTCGTGCTGGCGGAAAGATAGCAATTCTCGAATAATTCTGGAATGACCCCGAACGTCTAAAAATGAAAGGATTAAAGAAACAATGAATGAAGGAGGTACATAATGCTGCGCCACTATTCATTATTATGCCTTATTTCTCTGATATTATCGTATTACAGACGCTAGTAATGAAAATATGATCACTCGACAACATAATATTAGTTATCATCATCATCGTCATCGTCGTCATAATCATTATCAGCCTGACAACGCCAACTGCAGGGCAAAGTTCTCTTCCATGTCCCGTACGATGAACCTGATCCTGTGCTTTCTGCTGCCACGTTATACATGCGACCTATTTAGTACCATCTGCCCACTTAACTTTGTCTCCCTCTGAAGCGTTTGCCTTCTCGTAGAGTTCAGTCAGTTGCCCTCCCTTAACAGTAATTAGCCATCTTACGCACTAAGTGTTCGGCCCACATTATGTGCCCACACCTTAGCATATGTTGCGGCAAATGGGTATGCAAGAAAAAGAGAAACAATGCTGCTTTACTGAGGCCTACCTGTCTCAAAAACTGTATTCAAGCTCTGTTCAGTGTTTCTTTTATTTATTCCTATATACTAATGCCACGTATCAGCTACAGCGCAGCGCTACTGCTTCCGCTTTTTTTCTGTGACCTGCCTCAAGCCTATGCCGTTTACCTGTTACACAGGTCCTTGCGTAGCCGGAGTCGTGGGGCTGAGGATGCCAAGGTACTGTCTCTTCGGTGACACTGTAAACACAGCCTCTCGGATGGAGTCTACCGGAGAAGGTGGTTTGCTAGTTTACACCTGCTGCCAACGCACCAGTACGATCGATGATGCCCATGATTCGCTCGTAGCTCCATTTCTCGTTGGTGACGGTGGTGGGCTGCCGTAACTGAATGCGAAAGAAGCGAAAAATTTTTGTGTGACGAAATAACCGAGGCATTGAAGACGACTGCAAGTTGTGCACAACAGAACTTAATTAAACGTTCTATCAAAATTACAAGGTCGCACTACAAACCGTGTAACTTCGAAGAACGTTGAAGTTTACCAAGTGTGTCCCTTGAGTTTTTGATGGGGAGTGTTCAAATGTCCGTGAGAGTGAGAGGCTTTGTAGTGTAATACTGACATTTCACCGCAGTGTTGCAGTCATTCTCTGCTGTATAGCCCCCGCAGTCGTCTTCGGTAACTAGCTTGTTTGAACAGTTATTATTTTGTCGCCTTTTTTCTACTCAGTTTCATCACGCCATTGCTGCCGCTCACAAATGGTGCCACGTACAGATATCGCCAAATTCTGGAAATGATTTGGTCACATCTGCTGGCGTATGCCTGAAATGTTTGCATGATAAGCAATATGTAGATTGGTGTGGAAAAAAAGTACAACAGGCACATAAAAGACACTACCTCTGCCATGATGAATTTCTCCGGTATCATTATGAGTATATTAAAGCTGTGAAGGCTCAAAGGTCTATCAAAATAAACGAACCAAAAGTATTAGAAGGATTCCTCGCGTAGACTTGAGGACGGCTTGCTGAAACTGCTATACTGACGTTTTTATCAAAAATGTGTAAAAAGAGAAACCTGTAAATAACTCTACATAATGTCATCTTTTTCGTCGTGGGATTGATACATTGACATGTGGGGCATAACGTCATAAAACCACCACATGATTATGAGAGACGCTGTAGTGGAGGGCTCCGGAAGTTTGACCACCTGGGGTTCATTAGCGTGCACCCATATCTGAGCACACGGGCCTATAGCATTTTTCCTCCATCTAAAATGCAGCCGCCACAGCCGCTATTAGATCCCGCGATTCGATCGCGATCCCGTGGTCAGCATCAGAGTCACTTAGCCACTAGACAATCGCGGGCGGGGCGTTTTTGTTGTGGGATTGTTGCGTTATAATATAATTTTCAAGTAGAGAAGCTCAACAAAGCTGAAAAAAATGAATATATGAGGCACCTGTCTAAGGCTCTTAGAGTTACGTTCTATTCTTTTATTACGCGTTAGAATTCATATGTTATCACAGCTCTCTCGCTGGGATCATATACATGTAACTGTGCGTGAATATGCCAAACTGTGGGTGCACTTTGGGCTTATGTTTATGGGGCACTGAAAGGCGCGACGTCTGTGCTCGTTCACTTCAGCCTGTTGTGCCAAGTATGCATGCGTCGCCTTCTGTGTGTGGCTAAAAAGCTGACAAAGAAGCCCACATATTCATTCAAAGTCATGAACTACAGCTGTGCCACCACATTATTATCGAGCCCACGTTGGCATGTAAATGCGATTATTACATCGAAGTGTTTTGAAGAGAAGAAATCACGAACACATTTCTCAGGCTGGTCCACTTATGTTATTGGTGCAAAGCAGAAGCTTTTCCCATCCCCTCCAACGAACACTTTTTATTAAGTGTTACAAAGAGCAGTTTACATCACGATGTAGACTGAGATACTTCCGTGCATTTCTGCATTGTTAGTACAGAAACGGAAAATATATAAGCAATTACCATTGACTAAAACCACATATTAAACAACACATGCATCTAACTTCTTTTAAGACCTGACTGTGTACCTCATGAAACATAAGTATTGCGCATAATCATCACTGTGCTAAAATCTGTATACTATTTGCTATAAAAACACTGGTTGACATATTCTCACACCGTGTTCGAATTGCCATGTTGCCGATATGGAGAAATTCAGAGCAATGCTATGTTTCCTTATGAATTCTTTTCTGAATCAAATATTTTCGAAAGTGACTGGCAAACCTGTCATGGTCAGCGCAAGTGTCTTGTCTCGGAACGTGTATTGGATTGTTTCTTTCTGCACTTCACAGCCCTGAAGATACACGTCAGTGAAGCGTGCAAGAATATATTGGAGAAACTTGGCGGCTACTACCTCGTCGAGAGGGGTCTCATACCAATAAAGGTAAGCAGACGGCATACAAACCTCAATGACGCGGTAGATGGCGGAAATGTTCACTGTTGTCACCTGATGAACCCACTGTATTGATTGTGCATTTTCTCTAAAAGGGCGTTTTACGCCACCAGAGATCTCCTATCTTCATTATAGGTTTTTCTCTTTTTGACTGAATTTACTACCTATAGCCTTCAAGCTGTTCGCCGTTCAAAGTAGTTTGCCCAGGCAGAAGATACGGCAGTGACTGGCGTTGAAAAATTTTGCCTCTCTATTGCCCTCATAAAAATAGTATTACGGGAAGACCACTAATCAACTTTATGCAAGTGCAGGTGACGGGTTAGCTTCACTGAATGTATTCCCATTTAATATAGTGATTTTTTCATAATAATATATCTTTTCAGTTTATGAATTCTGGCAGTCATTGATTTTAGATATACAACTTTCTTATTGTAAGAAAATGTGAGACTTCGGCTGTAATTTCCATGCATTTCACAGAACTTGGACCTGCAGTCTTCTAAAAGGCAATGTTTAAGGTGATAGTTTTAAAGAGCTCGTGCTGCAGAAATTTCAGCGTTGGCGTTGGTTTTATTGGTTGTGAGCGAAAAATCATCATCTCATGCGTGACCGAAAATTCTAGAACGCTGCAAATAAAAGAAACAATAAAAATTCGACGTCCGCGTGAGCAGTCGAACCCGCGTCATTTGCGTGGTAACTAGGCAGTCAACCCCACAACCACGCTTCTGCTTCAAACTGCAGTGAATATAACTTCCCCTGATTGGAACTGCTGGGAAAGTAACTCATTATTTACTATAAACACGTTTTCTCTACATGCTTTACAATAAAACATACAATCAGTAAAAATGAATGGTACAGGAGCCCAGTGCCATTGAACGTCGGAATATGTGAATAACATAATGACTTTATGGGTCAAAGCCAGTAACCCACTACAAAAGGTACACATGCTACTTCACCTGTTACCTTAGGCCACGTCCACTCTTGTGCAAGAGACTTCGTGAACCATTTACTATTTTCTACATTTTATTCCAATACAATGAATTGCACCCTTACGAAAAAGCATTTCCCATCAACCTACCGAGAGTAAATACCACTTCATCAATCGATGTTGATCGACAAGAATGCACTTTTCAATCAACACTGTTTATTTGCGTGTTTAAAAGAAGTCGGTAAGTTTGATGTCATCTGTCCTGGTAATTTCTAGCAAGATCGCTGTCTGAAGAGTGGTCGCTACTGCAGATGATGCACTACAAAGTGCCTGTCTCGTTGCCCTTGGAGACAAGGGTGTGGAAAGACATTGGTGCTGTGTCGTCTCTCGGTATCAGTGCTATCAGAACTGTTAGTCCCTCATGTTCACACGACACATTTTATGTCACTCTCATAGTTTTATTACATTTATGTCATTATCTTTTGCCAGCCATTATAGCGAGAAATTTTATGCCCCCATGCAACCAGTCATCACACCATTGCCCACATCTTCTGTCTCATGTATTGGCGCTGTTTGGCCATCACATGGCCCTTTCGGCAATAAAAACTACACATTGCTGTCATTGTCATCATCGTCCCTTAGGGTTACATAGGGGGTGCGTACCAAGTTCGAGAAGGTTCAATGCACGAAGTGTTTGAAGCGCGCACTAGAAACAGAATCTCGCTATCGCGTTTAACTCTTAAAGGTGAAGCTTTAGGGTTGCCTTATTTCTTCATTTTCTTTTTGCTTCACATTATTCCTCAGATCTCAAAACAGAACATTCCATGCTGATTTCCTCAAAAGTAAATTTTCTGGCCTTTCTGTGTCCATACTACTGTTATACGTGACTGTGACGTGTTCTCTGTATACTCCGGAGGAGAAATGCCACCAAATGTAGAACACCTCCCACATGCTAAAATTAAAATTAAGGCTAAGCCCCTCATTCCAAAGTGACAGCCTAGCGATGGTGTTATGACAGAGTACACTGTGTTATGTTCAGAAAGAACTTAAAATAGAAACATGCGGAGCTATGAAAAAATGAACAGTACTGCAGTAGATATGAGAATGAGCTCTACCGGTGAGAGATAAAATAGAGTAAATGCGATGTACTGCTTATGTATGTATATCTGTATCACCTTTTTCATTTCATCACCCCATTGTCGTTATTTGTAATCGATTCGGGCAAAGTGTGCTGGTCGACACTTGAGTTAATTTTTGTATAGCGCCTTATTCATTGATTGGCGCCTTCAGTCAGTTTTTTACGCGCAGATTGTCGCTGATGCCTTAATTTGGGGGAGACAAGACCCCCCCACTTCCTTGTACCCCCCCACTTCCTTGTACCCCCCCCCTACCCCCCCCCCCCAGCCTCAAGGCTTCTTTTATACTTCCGGTCATGCACTTACCGTGTACGAAAGCAGCATTGTTTCAAGCGACAAAAGAAATAATACCTAGAGTTGTACAGTCGCTACTTGTTCCAACCGCGTGTTGAGAAGACCTACCACCGTGCATAATTGAGCCTGCTGGAGCACCACGCGCTGTACAGTAAATAGAGGGGTACGTTCCCCCACATACATTGTACCTCGGTAGTGGTGCTTTCCTGATTGTACATGCACCCTTTGTAGTCGTAAGCTCGACGTTTTTGTCATGTACTTTTATCCTTGGTTGGAAGTCAATAAACTTCTCCTTGCTGCTGCTTTTGTTTTGGCGTCTTCCACCTTTTTTTAAAGCAGCATGCACCATGTCAATTTTTATGAAAGGGAACATGGCGACGCGTGGCCTGCACGCTCCTGCAGCTGCTGGCAGCGCATTCAAGCGGAGGCGAGAGCAACCACAGTCTTTTTTGTCGTCATCTCGCAGCGAGAAAAACAACCTTTCGTTGCTGATATGGAACCAGTGGCAATAGTGGGAACCACTTCCCCTTCAAGGCGATTACGCGAGAGCCGGAAATCGCCTTGAAGGGATAGCAAGCTTGCCGTTTTCTATCAGCAACGAATGGTTGTTTTGCTCGCCGCGAGATGACGCCAAAAGAAAATGTGGTTGCTCTCGCTGCCGCTTGCATGCGCCTCCAGCAGCCACCGAAGCGCGCAGGCCACGCGTCACCGTGTTTTCTTTCATAAAAATTGACACTGTAATAGTCGAACCGACAGAATTATTCATTCCAAAGCTGGGCATGCCTATGCTACAAAGAATCCGATTCTGCGACTCAAAGTAGCCTTTCTTCATGGTTCGTTCTTCGGGTTTCATCGTTCAAAGAAGTTATCACGCTTTATTGTAACTTATATATCTCACCTACCGTTGATAACTCGGTACTATGTCAAAACATGTTCTCGTGTTAGTTGTTTGAGATAACCAAAAATGGCTTGACACACAATGTGAAGAGTACAGTGCAGCAAAGAGTGTCATCTTCAAAATTGCAAGCTGGCGCTCTATCCTGCTCTGCATTTGTTCGGATGCGCAACAAAAATTAAGCACGACTTGGTATTTCAATCTTTATGGTAATATGTTTTTTTAGTTCGTGTAATTCTATTCGCAAGCGTCTTTAGATTTTACAGCGAAAGCTGTTATGAGATCACAAGTCGGTTCACGCGCAGTTGAACACTGCTGGTGCCCATAACCACAATGCGCGATATCAGAAGAAAAAGAAAACCAGCACCAATGACACAAGGGGGCTCAAACCCGGGTCAGTTAAGTACCAGCCCAGCATTCTACCACTGAGCTACGCTGGCCTTTGAGACTCATCGGCAAACTTGCCTTAGGTAGGCTTGGTGTCGCCAAAGCAATCGTGATAATGCGACTTATGAAGCGTTTTTAAACAGCAAAAGAGCAACCAGTCATCACACAATGTGAATAGCGTAACCAGTAGGCCGTCCACTGCCCCAACCCATTACAAAAGCTTGTTCTTGTTCCCCTAATAACTGTGGTGCATACTTCTCATTCATTATTTCTCATAGTTGTCAACTACGGCATGAACAATTGGTGTAATAATAATTGCAAGCATTTAGCAGGTACCATGCTTCTCAGAAAAACGACAAAAATGATATAGCGAATACCAGCCTACTATGCCTCAAAAAATTTACTATTATTATTGCCCTAGTGGGTAGGAAGCAAGTGTGCTTGCAGTAGTTTTTTAATGAGTGTTTTGAACGAGATTGAAAGGCCGCTCTTTTAGGTTTCGCTGCGACTGTGCTGGTGTTTTTTTTTCTCTTAAAATTTATTACTCTCGTGCTGGTGACCTCAAGAGCGTTCAAGGAATATGTACTCATCACAGGGCAAGGGAGAGATGCGCACGTTCTGGCTTGTTGGCGAAGAGGGTGGAGACCCGCCGGGACCTCCAGCTCCCGTCGATTCTGGCGCAGATGGTTCCGCGGCATCGCTGGTCGATGCCTCGAGCACCGGTAGTACCGAACCTCTGGCGGTCCGAGACGAGAGACCAGCAACGGTGGGTGGACGTGGCGTTTTGAACGAGGAAGTCAGCTGCCTGCTTTCCGATGGTGTGCACGGCAACACTCCCAGCAGTCCGCGCCGGTACGTCGTCGCCACGCACAACGGCAGCTGCCTGAGCCTCTTCAACGAGTGCAAACGCAGTCTCCTCAAAGAGCTGCGCAGGGACTACTGCACCAGGCCGACGGGGTACAGGTCGGCACCGATTATTGTGTGCCGTGACCGACCATCCGTCGAACCTTGTTGAGTACGCCAGACGGCATGAGTGCGCGTTCATCTGCGTATGCGTGTTTTAGCTCACGCGTTCGCGCGTCCACCGACTGTGACCACTATCCGCTCTTGGTGCTGCTGCATTCCGACGAGGAAACTCTGAACTGTGCCGGGCCCGATGAACCCGTTACCAGCACAATGCGTGCCGGACATGCGCTGTCGTTCGCGTGGTGGTTTACGAAGGTTACATGACGCTAAAGGCGGCTGTTTTGTGCTGGCTGGTGCACGTAGACGGTTACAAGAAAGCTATAGTCATTACAGCAAAACTTGGCTAATACTGTGCTGACGTCACCGAATGTAGGCCGCCGTTTTATGTACCCTAACAGATTTTTTTCACAGCACAAGTGTGGCTTTTATTAGTGCATTTACATAGGAAAGTAAACCAAGGGTCAGCTCATTCGGTCTGTAGATAGCGAGTAAGAGACAGCGGCTCTTTTATCGGTATTCAAAGATGGATGTGTTGTCAGCAGCGTCAAAACATATATGTGCGTAATGTTGATGTTCTTCAGGCTCTTCCCTTTGAATCAGCCAACAAAATGTGAGTGATCAACGAGGTCGACAGCGCAAGAAAACCTCTTAGGTGCTGCCATATCTGCTCTGTACAAAGGGAGTAGTGGAAGAGGCAATGACCGCTCACCATCAGTTGGCATTTGATAAGCAAAAGATTCGCTAAATACGTGCCAGTATTAGATTCTTCATAGTATTGCGCAAAGCTTGAGCAGCAACATAACTACGTGAGAGTGCTGCCTTTTTCTGCATTCGTGCTATATGAAAAATAAGAACACGGGACTGTAATGGCCACCACAACTGTGACCTCTTCGAAGAATGAAGGCACGTTTCAGGAAATGCTTGAAGCGCCTTTCATGACAATTGCGATTGCTACCGTGTTTGAGTGCTGTGAACTAACATACTATGATGCCATAAGAAATGAGGCGATATTATAGGCAGTAAATTTATTTGTAATGTAAAAGTGAACGAAAAAGAAAACTGAACGAAACAATAACTTGCCGCTGGAAGGATTCAAACCTGCGACCTTAGGGCAACGCTTCCGATGTTTCGCTACTGAATAACGGTGGCGATCATCCCTCCGTCGTTTTTCTAGGGGATATGTTCATTAAAAGTGGGAGTGCCAGTTAGCGCCCCTGGTTGCCATTTCGGCGAGTGTGGAACACTCTTTTTGCTTGCAGGTGTAACGATCACAATGCCTTCTAAGAACATCCCGTGTACGTCTCCCGTCTGTTAGCTCTAAATACTATTGTGTATAACAAAAAAATATGCCCTTAAATTTGCCCTTGTTTCCTTCATGTTTGAGTAAGTGCTATAGCGAAAAAGTTATTGACATTTTAAAACGATCAGATCGTCTGCTACATAATATTTGATCCTCCCATGCAAACTCTAATCTTGATACTCGCAAGAACATCGAGGGAACGCTGTGGAGCTAGCGCTTTTTCAGGGGCATTTTAAAGAGACACATGCTAACACGTAACGGTTAGAGTAACGCAGTCTGCACACTGGGTGGTTGATGGAAGTTGTTTAGAGCATATGAGCACACATGCGTGGCTACATGAAACATGTGCCCGTAGAGGCAAATTATTTTTTCATGACGCCGCCAATGTGCGGGCATTTAAAGAGAGTCTGGAATTGAAATGATAGTATTTACGAGGACTAATTATTGCAGAGAGTGAAGAAAGGTTACAGCAATGAACAGTATCTTGTGGAGGAACAAAGGAAATAGAGACAAGGAATTTGATTAGTTGTGGATCCGAAATAACAACAGAGTAAGGAGAGTAAAAAAAAAGACACCAGGATGCATTACCGACATTTGAAACCATATGATGTTTATTGCTCTCGAGCAACAAGGACGCCTTAATAGAGCCTTATATAACACTTACATTTCGTTTATTATTCATTTTAGTTGTTCAGAGCAAGTGGCGTGACGAATAGCTCATAGGCCAGAGGAGAAGAAATTTTTATTTATTTATTTATTTATTTATTTATTGTATACTGTATGCGCAATCTCACAAAGAGATAAAAGGCATGAGAATAAACTTCACAGATACCACTGTTATCGTTAGTAGTCGTTTTGTGGTACTAGGGATGGCAGTGATGAAGAAAGATATATGTTATGACATTTGTTAAAGGGGTTGGTCAGTAGCCTAAGAACTCGTAAGCGACAGTGGCTAAGAAACAAAAAGAAACAAGAAAAAGACAAGTTTGAAATAAACAAGAAGATTTCGTATTTACCAAAGTTTTTTTTTTTTGTTTAGATACTCATATCTAGGAAGACAGGGTATCCAGCGAGACAGGTAGACCGAAGGGAAAAGAGTTCGCGAAAAATTCTCAGGAATGCTTGTCGCGACAGAACTTGTGATTGCGAGCATAGACACTTCACCAACCCGTCGTAGCCCATCGTAGTAAAGGATTTATTTAAGAATGCAGTCAAGGGCGCGTTCGCTATAGCTCTACAAAATTTGAGGTCCCCTGTTTGATTGCCAGTCACTGTATGCATTCATACTCACGTAGGTTAAATGAAGAAACAGTCGTGAACTTATGTTTCCACAAACTTTTATGCTCTGCAAATTCAATGGTTCTAAAAAGCACGTCCGTTGTGGGCATCAACATATCGATATACCTCTACAATGTCTCTGAAAAAAGGTTTATGGATTTTTTTTTCTATTAGAGGCTCAAAAACGTAGATGAAAAAATTAAGCTTGTAAAAATTTCTTTGCGGAGGAGAGGAGAAAGTGTATAATTCATTGTCGAAAAAAGAAAGGTCAAGCACTTTTGCTTAAAACAAAGCCCATTTAAAGAAACAATCGCTCGATACACGCATATACCAATATAATACAAATTGAAGCAAAGAGAAGAAACGTTTGCGCTGCCATCGTCGCTTGGCAAGCACTGAAAGAGGTCGAAAAGTGTCTCCACGAACTTTTCATCAATGAAATAAATAGTGGAAAACTTGTACAAAGATTACATGACCTCTGATTCTAGAATGCAAAAACTTGTATTTATGACAACTGTGTACATCTTACGGCGCTGCCTGTTGAAACGAAAAGAAATAAATCCTGGTTGTGACGCCGTATGGAAAACAAAACTACGCGGCTTCTTTCTTGCACTCCTGTTCCTTGAAACCATCTTGCTACATAGAGGGACGTCACCAGAACTTACCTCTATGTACGTAGACATGTATGTTTGTATGTGTGCATGTTTTTATACACATACGCAAAATTGAAATATATATATAACGTAGCTTTAACTCACTAAACACCCCCCCTCCCCTCACCGTTCCCTCGGAATGCCATTCCGGCTATAATCAGGACATATATTTGTAGAAGAAAGTAGATCATGAAGGAAATGATTGACACCGCTGCACACTCAATGCTCCGCCAGTGGTGGTCTAGCTGCGCATGCGCATTTCGCGCCATTTTAAACCAATTCAACATGGCTGTGCCTTGTTGCGCTGATTTAAAAGGAACCTGTGCCAAAGCGCACCCCAAGATGGCGCCAGCACTGCCTTGGGGTGCTTACAGCCAAAATTTGTGGTTGGTGTGGCAACTGGCTTCAGGAAAGTACGCAGCCACGATGCCCAGAAGTTTATGAAGCCAACTGAATCCAACGCACATTCAGTTGATCGTTTTTTTTTACCCTCAGGCGTGTGCCTGTCAATGTACATCGCAGCGACCGTCCGTGCACGCCGTCGGTTTATGCTGATTGCGAAACTGCAACGTGCGATCGGCGACCATCACGGTGTTTAGATAATAAGCAAACGTGTGTATACTCACTTTATTACGCATTTGTGCATAAAATATAAACTAAATATTGTATTCGAATAAAAGCCGGTATAATTTCTTTTTAAAATGCTCGCATACCAACTTCGGGGGCCGGCTTAGATTCCAGTTTAAAAGAACTATAATTGAAGACTTTCGTTATGAGACCTGAGAAAAACAAATCGAGCACAGGGATACATGGGTTGCATCTGACGCCATTTCTGGCTTGCGAAGCCAGTGACTGCCATGTGGATGAACTACAACGGCGTAAACGTAGCGCGAAAAGACACGGACAAGAAAGTGTATACTACAAGCGCATGTGCACATTGAGTTCGGCTACGCATGCAGCTTAGCGCGGCGGTGGAGCTTGATGGTGTCATTCAATCTATTCTGCATGGCGTGCCGAAAAGTAAGCGTTGTCCGGGCGATCATTCATTATCTGCAGCACCCACAGTGGAAACAGGGCGAGGAGAACACATGCGCATTTCATGTGTGCGGGACGAGCCTCAGTATCCAAGCAAGCTTCAGAAGTGAAAACGTGGCTGGCCGATAAGGAGGGAGGTCATCTATTCGTGGTAAGGGGTATAAGTCCCTCCTAATGGCATTGTTTATATGTCTGTAATCAACGCAACCTCCAAGTATTGTTCTTCTTGACAAGCACGAATAGAGACACCCATGAATTAGATGAGTGTTCAACGACATCATCATCGAACCTTTTTTTTTCGACCTCTTTCTGGATGACGCAGCGCATACACGGTAAGTTTGGTGACGTGGCATTGCCTGTCTTGATGTGATATCTGATGGGATACGATGTGGTGTTGATGTGATGGGATGTGATGTCGGGTTGCAACCAACGTCTGCCTAAAGTGTGGTTGTCAGGATCGAATATGTCCCTATAGGATGTCAAGAGACGGCGGAGTCCTTGTTCTTCGGGGGGCGAGAGATCTAGGGTGATGATTTTGTCAACGTCAATGCATGGAAGGTCAGGCGCACAAAGCAAGTTCACGAGTGGAGTACGTCAATCAGCTGTCAATTTAGAGATACCACATTCTTGCAATTACGACATCTCGCCTAGTTTAACATCTGCGCGGGCACCACGTGCACGATTTATAATATATATATATATATATATATATATATATATATATATATATATATATATATATATGCGGCTACAGATGGCGATGAGTGACACTCCACTTTTCAA